AACAGAAAGAGTTTGATTTATTCAAAAATACGGTTTACTTTTGGGACAACCTAATAATTCTAAAAAGAGACGTTCAGCCGTCGATATCATCAAAAGATCATAATAAGGAAAGAGGATGCGGCTTGTACATCTTCCCGCTCCGGTTTAATGTTTCGATAAAGGGTAGTACAAATACTTGCGAGTATGGCGTGAAATGCAGGACAATGGAGCTTCAGAATATGATGTTCTTCTTTTGATATGCGTTGCCTTCTCCAGTGGGGACGTTGAGGCATGCGGCTAAGCATAAGAAGGAACTACAGTTTGCCCCAATCCTAACCAGGCCAAAATTGGCATGGCGGGAGTCCGCGTCGCAAAGGTTTCGCGCCACTTCTGCGGCTAGCTAGTCTGCTCTCTCCTCAATTTCTTCGCTCTTTGCGACAGCGCGCGTGTGCAGCGCAAAGCCCTAGCGCTGCGAGCGCGCAATTTCAGCCGATGGTTCGGCCTGATCCCGTTTGGGGCAGACTATACTCAGGTAATAGATTCAGCCGGCAGACGCAAAGCAATCGCCAAACCCCACCTAAAGCTCCGTGCCCTATCGCCCCACTGTCGCTTCGCACTGAAAACCTTAGAAGCGATCGAGCTAAAAATACGTCACTGAGCGGGACCCTAAAACTGGCAGCTGGCGGACTGCTATAAGGTTCAACGCAAGTGAAAGTGACGGCGATAGGGCACAGAACATTTACTAGGGATTGGCGGTGGCTGTCGGCTGAGAATCGATTGTCTGAGAACGATTTATCGGAGAATATGGACAAAGCAATTGAACTCAACCGGCGATAGCGACACTCCAAAATTTGGTATCCAGGCACTTTTACAGAGCCAAGTTGAGCATGTATAGCCTGCAACCCATGGAAAGAAATGCTATCAATACAATACAATCTCGCCTACTCGAAAGTTGGCGCCGCCGAGTGTATTATCAAGGGCCCATGGGGTGACCCGACTAAACAGGTGCACGGACAATCTACAACATGTCCATGACAGAAGGAATAATATATTTATAGATGTTATGGAATAAAGAGCATTAATGTCTATTACTACAGTGAGCATGCTGATCGTTATCGAATAAAGGGCGTTGATGTCTGTTACTACAGTGAGCATGCTGATCATCACTCACTAGTGAAGCAGTGGCGTTTGGAAGCAGATCTTTTATTAAATTAAGTTCAAAGTCACACCATCTAATAAGCGAACTGGGGTGGTATTTATTAATTTCTTATATGAGAAGGGGTTCCTGTACAGATCACACCTTATAGGTGCGGGCACTGGCGCCCGCGATGCGCGAAGCCTAGCTGCTGATCGGTATCCTGTCTGTTTGATGAATGGTCGATCTGGCAAGTTTTTCCATGTTTGGCACGGCAAGTGCTCGATCGTGCCCAATCTCGACAGGTCGGGCACTGCTGCCCATTTGGACCACCCGCTTCAAACTTTCACAATTATGGGATGGCGCTCTCGTCTCTCCGGGAAATCGTTAATAACGGCCCGAGAAACTAGTGGGAGATTGATAAATATCGCCTCCGTTTCGGAAAACTCAGTAATTTGGGTAATTTATGCTGCAACAAATTGTGGTCGTAGCAGCTCTATAAAAGGTACAATTTAGACTTTGTTAAAGAGCCACCAATTGTAAATTTCTTGTAGACTCCGTCATTGATTCGGAAAAGTGACTTGTTCATTTATCTTATGTTCACATGCTCATTATTTCTCTGATTGTGAGAAAAAGCGTGCATTTCTTTTTCTCTCACCGTTCGTTTCAGTAACCAACCATACTTTTAATCAGATTTTGGTCTTCTGGATTTCTGATATCTACGTGAATATAGGATCACGCTAAATGATTTATGAAGCAGTTAAATTGGCAGCCACGTGCTTACGACATACTCGGCACACAATCTATGCACTGGATAAATAATTGAGTATGTGAGATAATCCCTGTAAAACATCTAACAGTTTGAAGATCTATTTATCTAATCAGCTAATCCAGGCGTGACCAGTGGAAGCGTTAGGTCTACATATCACTGATACCAGATTCTCCATTTTCAGACCCTTTGGTACTTCATTTGGAATGAAACCCAAACGGTCGAAGGGATACCTCCGGCGGGCAAATGATGCGAGTCTGCCACTTCGCGCTCTGGAACGCTCCCGGAGATGGGTTTCATTCGCCTGCTCGTGACGTCACCGTGACGTCACGGTGAACGAAAGGGACCCTTCTCCGGGACGCGCAAATCTTTGCTCCGGAGGTGCACCAGATTTGGGAGAGCCCCGGAGCATCAAAATGCGTGAAAAGGCAGGACTCCGGAGCGTTCCAGAGCGCGAAGTGGCAGACTCGCATCATTTGCCCGCCGAAGGTATCCTGTCTGAGAAAGCGTCGAAAATTGAAGGATACGAAATATAGAACAATATTGAAATTTTCCTCGGCCTCCACCATGAACTTTCGTGGTTTGACGCACTCGATGTCAACGATGTGATGATAAAGGCTTGATCAATGAAATATCAATTTATCACCACAGTTCGGCTGTTTCAAACTCAGTAGGTAAACACATTTTATATTTTAAAGTAGATAACCTGATGGTCAATCTTTTCTGCTTCTTTTGGTAGCGATGTACATAAGATTACAATGTTCATATGTAGTACATTTCTACCTTATCCTTTTGATTTCTCATAAATCTACAAAGTGAAATTGTCATTGAATGAACATCATGCATGCACCTTTTTGTATTTTCTTTTGAACACTCTAAACCGCTAATTAGCAGTGCCCAAAGAAGTTTGCGACGACTTCGTTCAAGTTTGTAAGTACTAAAATACAGATTTAATCCTAAAAAAATCGATTTTTAAAGAGAAAAGTAAGGGGCTCGGTGAGTGGGCAAGACGCAACAAAATCGGTGGTGCCAGCAGAAAATACATAAGAATTCAAAAGCATTAGTCGTTTCATGCTATTGCCATGGCGGAAATTTCTTATTTCCATCTCACGTGAGCGCAGCAATCCGCTGTTATTTAATGATTTTTTAGCAGTAGCTATTTTTCTATAATATTGTGATAACTGATTACGCATGCCGTTTTTTAAGCTAAGAAAATTGACGGTTTCCAATTACTTCGGTGCTCAGCAAACAAATGGGAAAGTAGAAAGGACCACTCTGAGGATTCGTTTTGCTGGTGCTTATATGTATTATGCAATTTGTCTCATTTCTTGTGGTGGAAATGCTTGCTTTTTTAGAGGCAGCATCTCACATAAACGGTGAGCTTCGATTGATGTATGACTTTATCCTTTTCGTATTATCACACATATCACATGAGCACTAGAAAGTCAACCTTGAGTAGATAAATGTTCGTTTTAGAGACAAACATAGAGTTTTATGAAAAGCAAAACAAACTCCTTTCTCATCTACTTTCTGGGTACAGAAAAGAAATTCCTCCACTTCGCAAAAAAGGTATGTGCAGCTTACTATCATGTAAATTCGGTTGAACCGAAAGCTTGTTCGCAAAATATTTAAAAAATCTCAACTTCTTTCTACCACAACTACTCTGCTCGCGTAAAATTTTGTTAGAAAGTGCAAAGCAAGTACTTTCCAAAAGTGCATGGTGGCTTTCAGCAGGCTTCAATTGCAGGGAAAACGGAAGAAGGAAATCTTAAAGACTGCGTCCAGGCAAGATCCATCCACCCAGATTAGCACACAGTTGTAAAGATGGGCCCATGAGTATCCGATCTGCGTTGGTCCAATCCTTTGACGTGCCCTCTAGAAGGAGATACGGGCAAATGATACGTATCACAAGCCGCCCCTTCGTATCACAAGCCACCCCTGAGGACGAGTGCTTACGCAGGTGTGCGGTTGCATTGCAGTTGCATTGCAGTTGCAGCTCCTCCCTGGCATGACGATGGGGACGAGCAATTCGAAACTCGTCCGCTCCTTGAAGAGAGGGTCCCCAAGAACCGGGTTTTTTGGGAGTTTTGAACAATTTGGACTTTACAACTGTAATCAGGGCCATGGAAAGGCCCTAGAGTGGCAGAAATAGGAGAGGCGAAATTTTGCCCAGACGCTGCCTTTAGGTTCGGCGATTCGAGGGAAGTTCCTTAAAGGCAGCGTACACCCAAAATTTGAGTTACCGCATTTCCAAGATCTTTCTACACCGTTTATATACTGGGCCCAGAAGAAGACCAACTGTGTTGATCCCGTCTCCCATTGCTTCTAAGCGGAGAAAACCCCTCTCAATTTTCTTTCATGCCGCCCCTTTTCTTTCGCTCCGCCCCCTCCGGACGAATCCATAACAGCGTAAGCTGCAATTGCAGTTGCAGTTGCTGTTGCAACATCTGTTGCATTTGTTTTGGGTGTACGCTCCCTTTAAAAATCCAAATTGCGCAGTGAAATGCAAAACATTTTTATTTTTCTAACCTTCTCTTATCAACTGAGCAAGTTTTTGCAAATCGAGCTTTTCTTTGAAAAATTATGAGTTTCCAGAAAAAATGCCAAAAAATCACTTTTTCCAAAAGATTGATTTTTGGCATTTTTTCTCGAGAATCATAACTTCTCAAAGAAGAGTTCGATTAGCACAAACTTTGCCCGTTAGAAGGAGGAGGTAAGAAAACTACGAATAATGGCTGTTTCGGATTTTATTGCGCAGTTTTTGGATTTTTAACGAGCTTCGCTCAAATCGCCGAACTTCGCAAATCCTTCTATCATCTTCACCTCTGCAATCTAAACCTATTCGAAAGCGTTAGACCTATTTTAAAAAGTAATTGATTTGCACAAAGTTGTTTCTAGCGGAGTCGTTATGATAGAAATAACTTCAAGTTTAAAGTTGTACAAACGAACTTTCGGTTCAAATTAACACATAGCTCTTGTTCTTTTTCCGGCCGCAATATTTCAAAATGTTGGAGAATTTAGCGCAGTATTTCAGTCAGAGGGTACTCAACGATATTTTTTCCAATACTTGCTACGAAGTAATAGTGAACTTTGACTCTCAAGGGGACTCGATCCCTCATGTCGTTTGCAATTGGTGCAACAACTTTATGTAGGCAAAAAATCAACTGTGCTGAACCACCCACTTCAGGTCACCCACTAGAGAGGATCAAGCCTATGATTGTAAATATTACATTAGTGCGTGCATCGCTGCTCTCTGTGGTAAGTTGCCTTTTGAATCCGAAGCTTAAAAAAATAAGTACCAAATTTTAGGATGAGCCTTTCCAAACAGTCGACATGATAGTCGAATGTTACCTGGGAAGTTTTTTTTTATAAAGTATTTGGACTATTCAAAATATGATGTCAGGACTGGAACGATGCTCGACTTGTGTGGAATTCATCCGATTTTGATGACATTGAAGGGTTCTATATCAATCAAAATCTTATATGGAAAGCAGATATCGCGGTTTTCAACAGGTTTTGCTGATTTCTTATTACTACAGGATCATTAGTGACCTAATGCTTGCAGCCGCTCTTTAACTGATGTAGCTTCTGATGCGAAGCACGCATATGTATGTCGACCTTTGTAGTCATATTTTTACAAATAAGATTTTCCTAGGTGAAGAGCAGCGGCGACATTTCCTTGTTCGTATACAATTCGGTCTCATTCTTGTGTCTTATGAATGCAAGTGATAATCAATTTTTGGAAGTTTTCAAAGTTTAACATCTCAATGCACTCTTAAATAGTCTTAGTATTTCTTTATAGGTTAGAAACTTCCCGTTTGATGAGCAGGTTTGTTCCATAGAATTTGCGTCCTATACATTTACAAGCCAAGAGCTGCAACTCAACTGCATTATGCCGAAACACTACAACAGCGTTTCTGCCGTAAGTATTATCTTATTTTATACAATTCATAAGAGTGACTTAAAATTGCGTGTTTTTCGAAGTTACTCAAATAATCGGCCTTACCATGTCAGTAATGAGCGCTTCCAAAATATTAGGTTGGTGCAAAAATAATGAGCGTTTTCAATTTTTCATTTTAACATGCTATAACTTTCTGCAAAATCTACATTTTGAAATGTGATAAAGACCATCAGATGCAGCAAACCTTTCGCAGTACAGCGCATATTGACATATACTCATATCTCATATGGGCAGGAAAATATGAATTAAAAAACAAAAAAAATTTTTTCTGAAGTCTTGTTTTTGATTAAACATAACTCCTTTCATACTTTGTTGTTACCATTTATAAGCAGCCTATCTTGTAGCCACAAGCCAGTAGTACAAATATACATGGAAACGGTTTGGAGAAAAAAGATTAGCGAAGAGGGAAAAATCAAAATTCAAAAATATCAATTTTTTAGCACTTTTCCAGTAAACCTGAAAACCCCAAAGTATAGAATTTTCTAACTTTCTGCGTACTGAACACCTGGATGTTTTTGCAAAAACTGCTAATAGGACTTCTACCTTCACGCTTACAGAGATGAGCAAAGTTTGAGCGACTGCATTCTACAAAAGACAGTTATGGGCTTTAAAATGACCATAACCATTACCGATGTTAAGCCGCCGATATCTCACTTTAGATAGCTTAAAAAAATATGGTTAAATATGCATAATGTAGACAATTTCTATAACATATAGCGGCTAAATTTTCGCTATACTATCTTCATTCGCGCTCAAATTCTGGCCAGAAAAAATGAATGCAACGAAAATCTGGTTTTGAATGCGATTATTTGAAGCTCTACAAATTCTTAACAGAGTGGGCTAAAAGTCCGTTTCGAACACCTTTAGATAGAGCATGAAAAGAGCTTTCTAACAGTATGCGGAAACCTTTACAAAGGAAGAAGTTTGATGGAGAAAAGTTGTCGTGAAAAAAGTCCTAGGAAAACGCTCATTATTTTTGCACAACCTAATATCAAATCTGATATTTTTGGATACACCCCTGAGCGCGCTCTAAAAAATAGATTATGTCGATTTCAGTCGTGAAGGATATACAAATCGGAATGAAAAACATCTCAGAAAGAATAAAAAACCGCACTGAATGACCAGTTTCTCGTTTGATGTTCCGTGAATGTGAGTTGACTGGGAATGGAATCAGACAGCATCTCCTATAAAAAATCATAACGAGCCATGGAAAAGAGAAACAAATTGCTATGTATTCTATAAAGTTATCCGCTTTTTATCGTAACTTTTTCTTAAAGGCATCGTCCACCCTAAGTTGAGGATGTTGAGCTTTTGGCAGCATATAATAGTAAGGCCTCCTATTAATCCAACGCCCAAGTCGCGGCGCAAATTGCACGAAGACCCCCATTCATGCCCGCCTTCCCCCATCCATGCCCGCCCATTTGTGCGCGCCCGTCCAATCACCGTTCCGGAAACCAGGCCTATAGGTTCTCCGGAACGGGGATTGTCGGGGTTTTCGCGCATTCTCGACTTCATATTCGGAATCAGGGACCTGAGAAGGCCCCGAAACGACAAATCGTGGTAATCGAAAATCTTGGTGGACAGTGTCTTATGTTGTAAAAATTTAAGATAGCGAAGTTGACCGTGGCAAAAATCATGGGTCGTGGTTATCATGCTGATTTTTTGAGAGTTCGTTGGTTGCGCTGCCATGCAGTCATTTGAAAGGGGACTAAAGTACCAAACTCAAGTGAGATCTTCCGATTTGATCTGCGGGATGGGTGCTCGCTCGGATAACGAAATTACTTTCCTAGTAATCGCTACTACCTGCAAGCAAGTTGCAATTAGAGTGAACTGATAGATGTAAGGAGTGGAGTTTTCCAGAGTAACAATGAATGGATCATTGACGCCATTGAATCTGAAACGGTTGTACTCCGTGACAGCTCAGATGGTGAAGACTATTACAGGGTAAGCAAAATGTTCCCTGAGCTTATTATCTGGTACAATAATTTCGCTAGACAGGTCAAATTCATATTCGAAATGCGACGCTTCTCTATAATCTACGTTGTTACAATAATATTGCCATCCTTCGTATTGACCTTCCTCTGTGTACTTGGGATGTTTTGGACTAAGTTTGATAACTCAGACTACTTAACTAGAGTAAGTCATAAATCACAATATCCTCAAAATAAAACAATATTTTATAATAGATTGGGTGCGGACTTTCGGCCATTCTTGCAATGTGCACAGTTCTTCAGATTGCCGAACAAACCATACCTAAAACAAGGGAGTTGCCCTCGTTATGTAAGTTTAAGACTGGCTATAGTCTTTCGCTTAATTGCATTTTCGAGATTTCCAGCAATTTATATCATGGTCAATCTGATATTAGTGGCTATTGCTATTTCAATAGTTGTAATGGCGTCTAAGCATTACCGCTTCCCAAAATTCAGCATGTGTCATTCTTCAAAAGGGTGAGTTTAAATAGAACAAAGGCATTACCAAAAATGTTTCTTTACAGATGGTTTCATCGATTGGATTTTATGTTCAGCACAGACTTCCGAACACTTTGCCTGTTGATCTTTCCAGTAGCAACAGTCACAAATCTACTAATACTAATATATACGAAGACCATGTCATAATGCATCCAATCTCTTTCCATATACCGGCTTTGCATGGCTTTTAGATTTGCTCTTTTATCTCATTATGCTGCAGCAGTATCACATAATTATAAAGCATCAGTTTGATATAAAGAATTGTGACTTTGTTAAGGGCACGAATTGGCGAGTATGTTACTAACTATGCATGGTAAAGCCTCTATGTCATGCTCAGGATAGGCAAACGATAACGCGGCGGGGGGGGGGGGGGGAGGGGAGGGGGTTCTGGGACAGAATTTAGGAAGAGGGAGGAGATCGTCTTCGACGGTTGTGTGTCACAACACATGCTCGATTTTGGCCATAACGCATTGGGAAGACAAATGACAACAAATAGAGTAGTTGTTTGTTTAACTTGGTCGACTTCTCTAGTCTGCCCCATAATCAACCAGGCCAAAATTGGCATGGCGGGGCCCCTTTTCGCGTCGACCTTCCCCTCTGCACATGTTGGGGGCCGCAGCGAGGTGCTGAAAAGCCTGCAAGACAAATATACGTTGTAGATAAAATTGTCTTTGCAATGAAACTCGAAACTTTAGAATCTGGTCGTACGCAAGAAAAATTTTCGTCTTTTTCTAAGTGAAAACGTTAGTTGGCGTGATTGTTTTCAGCAACAAAAGCCCAAAACTGCCCAAAGCGTTAAAATGTCGCAACAAAACAATTCGCAAGTCTTGATTAGAGCTCCCAATTCTGGTTGCCATTAAGCTCATAAAATATGTTTTGGTGCTTTTCTTTTGAAAGTGCAAGTGGGATCAAAAACTTCTCTAAACTTGAGTTCAACCGTATTTTCCATTCACACGCTTAGTTTTGGGCTTTTGTTGCTGAAAACAATCACGCCAACCAACGAATTTTTGGGTAGAAATTTGTTGTTTCATAGTTGTTTGAAGTGAGATTTTCAAACGAATCCGAAGGTTTGATGCTTTTAAGTCCAAGTGTATACTTGGTCTACCTTTGAATTAAATCGGGACATGTTCGGAGATAATTGTTTCGTAACCTGTTTATTTATTTATTTATTTATTCATGCACATGACGTGCGCTACAATCATCATCATGAGTTAGCGGATCAACTCAACTAAACTGTTAGTAACATTAACAAACACTGACGCTAATCTACCGAATAGGAAGTGTTGATTGTAATCATAGGCAGCTTTTCCTCTAATAGATCAGAGTACTGAGTGTGGAGTAGCATATTAGCTATGTGATAGTGCACACCAGTCGGCAGAGTGTACATCGGTGCGCCCTAACACCGGAAGGCATGCCTGGAACCTTCGGATTGACAGGTATACCGACTGAAACCCTGTCGAACCAGGCTTACCGACATAATTAAACTCTGGGCATTAAGAAAAAAAAACTGAAGATATGCATATGCTAACTAATTCCCAGTGCAAGCTGATCAAGAAAGGGGAAAACCAAAGCGCCTAAAAAATATCGGTAGAAACGCGTCTTGCCGGAAGGAATTCAATCTAAATCTTCTGTTCCAAGCAAGTCAAAAATATCGTTGTTAAGTAGAAATTGTTTGAATTTGACCGTATCCTGACAGAGAGTATCGACAGGAAGACGATTGATTAGTCGTGATACACGGCTAGCAAACGAATTCTGTATCAGTTGTTTACGCCATCCCTTGCACCTACAAGTAAAAACGTTAAAACTTGATCTCCGGTTAGGGGAAGGACGCAGCGTCCAGAAATCGGAGAGTTTTAAACGCACCTCCTGCCGTATAATTTTATGAGCTAATAGTATATCAGCCAGAATACGTCTGTGATACAGAGTTTTGAGGCCAAGAATGGACAACCTATGTTTGTAATGAGGAAGAGCTTGAGGGTACTCCTTGTTTGGGAACAAGCGGTAGAATAAGATTCTAGTGAATGTACGTTGTACTTTCTCGAGTTTAATGATGTCTTTTTTGGAACTAGGGTTCCAAACTGGACTACAGTACTCCAGAATGGGTAGAATGTACGCTTTATACAGTCTCACCCAGACTGATTTGTCAAAAGATTGAACATTCCTAAACAAGGAGTACATGGTACGCGTAGCCTTAGCAACTACTGTATCAATGTGGGCCGAGAATCCATAAGGAGATTCTATTATGATGCCTAAATCCCGAACCTCTTGTTGATTTTTCAAGGGGAGTCCGTAGTCAAATTCAGCAGTCCTCTTTCCTAATCTCAGTATTTGGCACTTCGCTAAGTTCACCCTCAACCCCCAACTCTCACACCAACTTAGCATTTGATGCACAGATAGCTTCAATCTTTCAAATACTTCCCGCTCATCTGCTTCATAACAAGCATAAATTTTCAAATCGTCAGCATACGCTGCCACACTGATCCGAGTATCAGATTTCAGCAACCTAGGCAGTTCCATAGTGTATATATTGAAGAGCAACGGAGACAGGGCACTACCCTGAGGTACACCCGAGGGTGCACACATTTCCGAGGATCTACGTCCCTGGAAAAAGACAGAAAAACACCGATTCGAAAGATAAGATTCAAACCAGGCTAAAAGGTTTTCTCTAATACCAATACTTGCGAGTTTAGCCAAAAGACCCAAGTGATTAACAGAATCAAAGGCTTTAGTCAGTTTATATGAAAACGTCGGAATTTGGTACTTGCTGGGAGAGTTTAATTAACATGCTATATACAAAAATATGATTATATTCTTCTGTGTGACACTTCCTACTTACCATGCCACAATAGGTGTAGGGGGATAGGTTTAGGGAAATTGGGGATGCTGTTGGGTGCTCGTCTGCCGCATCTCTCTTGCTTGCGGTAACGCATTTCACTCATATAGGTACATGTAAGGAAATCCCTATAATAGATCGCTCATTTCAAAAACGTTTGCGGACCCTCAATCACTATTTTTAAATTTGGTTCAACCTAGATTAATATGCGGAAAAATTCGTTAAACTTTATTATTGAGTAACGATGCAAACGTCTTGCTAATGCCTTGATAAAAATACAGTCATGAAAACTCTTGTGGCCGTCTTCTTTGTACGCTACTACTACTACCACTACTGCTTTTGATGTAGTGGGCAAGTCAGGCTTACTTACAGCGGATTACTGTTAGCAGTGTAACAAGGAAATTGATTCTATAATCATAACCTCCCATAAATTTTTCAACTCGCAAACGTACATATATCCTTAACCGGTAACACTAATTGGAACAATTTCCAATTCGCCAGTAATTGGAATGGTTTCCAATTACTTGATGTTTAGCAAACATATAAAAAAGTGAGATGGCTGTTCCAAGAAATTCGTTTTAGCAGAGCTTTCAGCTTATGCAATATATCATAGCTCTTGCGGTATGCGCTATTTCATCCCTTGCAGCATCTTACTACCACGGTAAGCGTACGATTTGGTGTTCTGATACACATTGTTTGTTGTCCGAGCAATTAAAAGCTGGTACACAAGAATACTCGAGTTGATCGTTTAGAAACGAGCGCGGACTTTTACGAGAAGCAAAACGAACTAGTCTCTCACTTGCTGTCTGGATACAGAAAAGAAGTACCTCCATTATGCATTAGAGGTAAGTGCGTCAATATATCATATGCACCTTCGTTCTTCTTCCGCTACGGTAGCTATCAGAACTTGTAGTTGACAACCGATAGTTCTAACAGTCATTATAAAAACTTGAAGCTCCCATTAGCACTTGGGTCCTAAAGAACAGAGTCAGTCTTACACTAACTTTATATGTATGGTCGATTTCAGGCTTTGCCTTTAATGGCTTTCCTTCTGATTAACAAATATCAGATGAGAGCGCATGTCGTCCTCGTACGGGTGGCCTTCGTATAATTCTAGCGGCATACCGTTGCTCCCAGCTACTATGCCATCGCAGATGATGTAGCTGCACCAGGCGATAGACATGGTTTACAAAATTGATTATAGCTGAATTTTCACGTTGACATCATACATCGTCTCAAAATCTTGTTCGCACCTTGACAAGAAGGTCACGAATTCATATTAGCAGATCAACAAGAGTTTCATATCATCAGTAACTTGAAACGCTGTTTCTAAAACTGCCTTAATTGCCAGAGCGTTTCTGTGATGGAAGCTATTAGAGTTTATTTAGAGCAAAGAATGAAATTGAGGAAGGCACAAAATCAATACTTCAAGTCCCTTCTAGCCCTCGCAAGGGAAGGAAGGTTGGTCGAAGTGGCCTTTTGAAATGAAGTTATACTGCCTTGTAGAGCCTGAAACGCTGATTCCAAATCTTCCTTTGCTATCTGCTGATGGCTTCTGGGCGAGGAGGGTTTTTGTGAGTAAAAATCTGAGTGCAAAAATAGGGTAAAATCAGTCGTAACCTTTTCCCAATGTTCAAATGAGGCAGCAGCGAATTGGTTTGTTTGAATTAAGAATACTTGTTGCACCGAGTGACCCGACTACCAATTAAACCCTACAAAAAAATGTAACGACTGATTTTACCCTATTTTTGCATTCAAATTTTTACTCACAAAAACCTTCATGACTCCTCGCCCAGAAGCCCTCAGCAGATAGCAAAAGTAAATTTGGAATCAGCGTTCCAAGCTCTACAAGGCAGTATACACCTCATTTCAAAAGGCCACTTCGACCAACCTTCCTTTCCTGTCAGAGGGGTAGTGATGAATGTGAATACATCAGTACAAAGAAGCTTCTTACAAGAGGGGTCATGAATTTGAAGTGGCCGATCACCATAAGATGCATACCCTTGGAAAGAACTCGAAAGGCTGATTTTTAGATTTTCCTTTCATACCTGCAGAACGCTTTCGAATAGAATCAGAATTTGCATTATTTTAAGTGATCACAAATAATGGAAATAATTCAAATTGCTTCTTGAGCCACAAATAACATTTAAGAACGGCCAGCATTATATCAAGCATGGATGAGCTGTTTCAAATAGGCTTGAGTCCAAAATGCTTAGGTGTTGATAATTCTGGCTATTCTCAGCCTCGCAGTCTTTCTGCAAAAATGCCCCATAACTTCCTTTTCAGAGGTGTTCTGCAGATAGGAAGGCAGATTTGAAACATGCTTCAAGCTCTTAGTGATAATATGCGTCGTAGGTAATAGCCCACTTCGAGCAACCCTCCCTTGTCAGTTAAAATGATTGTACTAATCAAAACTACACTTTAGCGCTAGAAAGGTGGTTTTACGCACGCTGTGCACCGAATAAAGATAAAGAAGCGCTCGTAACCTTTTTCTTAGAACCGCTTTGCAAATAACAGATTCGTGACGAAGAAGAAGAAGAAGAATAGGAGCGTGATATCAGCGTTTCGAGCTCCCACCAATCGTATGCATGTGATGACTAGCTCTTTTCGTGACCCTCTTTTGTAAGAATGCTACTGCAAAAAAAAAGTTCTGCAAAGCGGTCACTGACCAAGTCGTTCCTGTCAAAACTCATGTAATTTACTCTCGTTATAATAAAGCTGTAATAGTCATAATCTTTGTACAACCTTATTATAAACTCTCGGACTACTTTCTCATCCTTGTTTTTACTAGGCAGCTGCATTTCTTTTCGATATTGTTGTCTTGTGTTCGAAAAAATTGTTCTCAGAGATTTCGCCCTTGATGCAGTAATATACAGGGTTTTCCGAAAAATGTGCTTACAGTTTGATTGTTAGTAAGTTTCTTCTCTAAATTTTAAGAAGGTTCAGGTATCATTTTATAGAGCTGGCTTCACCTAGATTTGCAGTGTGGAGAGAATTGCCGATCTCCCTTCAGTACTGTGGATCACGGTAAGAACTCACAGGGTATGGCGCCAATGTGAGACAAGCCGTTCGAAGAATATTTTAAAAAGAATCTGGCAAATTGTATAACAAGCTTTTCATGCATGCTGATTTCACCACACAACCTCCTGAGCGTTCATAGAGGTTTTTGAGGCGTAATCAATTTTCGACAAATATCAGAGAATGTTCGTTACGGTATACCCGGCATAGCTTACGAAAAATGCGTTGCGGTTAAGTGCAAGTTTTATATTTGAAACCGGCAACTCCAATAACCTAGTGTAGGAGTTCTCAGCTTCTTCAATCTTTTTTAGGGTCAAGTATGACACTCAATGACGCAAAACTCTTCTCAAAGTTCTTGCCGTAATCCTACATTGATAAAAAGAGAACGGTAACCTAAAACTTCTCGAAGAACTTCATGACAAGAGAGCTATCAACAATCAAAGAGTACTTTAGGCAGGCATATTTTATGGGGCACTCTGTATGTATCATAGACGTTTTTCTTGTTATTCCTGAACATGTTAGATTTTTGTAAAATTACCACTCTAGCGCGATTGCAGAACTAAGATGCCAAATCAATACAATACCTAATATGTTACCTAATATGTTTATTGCAAGATATCTCCATGATCTCTCAAATCCTTATACTGATCGCTGAATAAGGGCGTAATGAGTCAGCATATGCGCAAATTCAATTCTATTAGGTCGTTTCATAAGTTCGTAGCGTTTTCATTTTCGTCCTCATATCTTTGAGGAGCGGTTGATTTGCGGCAGGGTCATACCTTCGATACATAGAGCCACGTACTCTGGTAACCTTCACTTTGAGTGTCATGAGAGGACACAACCTTCACCTGGAGAGGAGTACAAATCATCCGGGGCGAAGCCCCGGATATTATGACATAACTAATGACTAACTATGTAAGGATGAATGTGAATGAGGCAAATATAGTAGTGACATCCAAAGAAAAGCTCAAAAAACCGAAAGATTGCGTTTTCATGGCCTTTTTTGCTGAAAAGAGGGTTTTTCTTCAAAAATTCAGTTAGAAATTAGGATAAAACTTATCAGTTAACCTTTCTATAGACTGCGATTGAGCGTTGGAGGTTCATGAAAGCCGCTGGAGTTCAACAAAAACGAGAAACTGCGCTGAAATCTTGCGCAGAGAGTCGCCACATAAATGCTGGTCTATCTCGTTATGGAGTGAGATTCAAGACCCGCGACGTTGTCAGTGCTCCTGGCCGTGTCATGAGGATCACAACGATATATAACATTATAGGGTTTCGTTATGACCCCGCGGAGATCATGACCAGAGCCAAATGCCCCGCCGGCTCTGGTCTCTCTCCGCTGCTCGTCTGCGTCTCCGCGCGCTGCGCGTTACCTCGCTACCCCAAGCGCGGGGCGCGGGGCATTGGGGCTCTGGTACCCTTTTCTTCGCTGTTTCGAACCCAATTTTAGCAAGCTATATATCATTTTGAAGCTCTTGATCTCTATTTTTACGCTGACAACGTCGCAGGACTCCTTTTTATGATTTAAACAAGAAAACCGGCAAAAACCTTGTTTTTGAAAATCTCGTTTTTCTCCTAGTTTGACTCTTTTCACGCAGTTTCTTTGTGTAGTCGATAGGTCTTGTTTCTGTCTATAATGTAGACAACGTCGCCGAGCTTATTTCTTTGCCTATGCCGCTTTTTTTGTGAAAATTACTAAAAAATGCGTTTTTCTTTACCTTATTCTTTTTCAGTAGTTTCGCAACGAATTTTCTCCAGCTTGGACGATACTTGCTCAGAATGATGAGCGGAAGAATCTAGACAACGTCGCAGGGTACAAGAGGGACGGCGCGGGGGTAAAATTTAAAGGACGCATCAAAAATCAAAACCCCGTGTTGCGAATTGCTGGTCCTGGAGCGAAAACTTGCACTCTGTAAAGCCGCCAAATGAAAGATTTCAAATCTTATTGCAGCGTTTTTATCCGGTTTACAGCCGTTTCTTTTGCTTTTTATGTCTGTTTTACGTCATATTCTCTTCTCTGATCTTCTTTGAACAACCTTCACCATTTGTGACGTCAGATGTTCAAACAACCTTCACTTTTGGCGCCCTGTCTCTAGACTATCGAAGGTATGGGCAGGGTGCGTATATTATTGGGAAGGGCTGATAGTGCTCATTTAGAATGCCTACTGATTCCGGTGGAAAGCTGATGCACTCAAATCTCGTAGCTTCCAAAGATGGAAATTTTGAGAGGCAAAAAGGAGCAATTTCGACATTTGCGCATTTTTCCTTGTGAAAAGAAGCATTTTGCAGAGATTTTTTGTCGATTATGGAACATGATCGCACATCACTATGAGGCAAAAATGGATTGGATTGCTACAAAAGAGGAGGTTGAGCAGGGTGCCCTTGAACAAGACTTTTTGGGAGACGGACAAGACGTCCTGCACTGAAAATTGCTGTACAAGTAGGACCGACTAAATCAGGTCTTACCGCAGGAAAAGCCTAATAGACTGATCCAGCGAATTTTTCTGCATGACTTGCAGATGACTTTCTTCAGATGACTTTCTTGAGACCCGGGGGCGCTGCCGCTTGAGAAATTGCGATTGAGAACCTAACAAGAAAGTGCCAAAGGGTCGTGCGCTACAACGATGAATATAATTTTGGTTGGCTTTTGCTGTAAAGTGATGATTCCGTTGGTTTATAAAAAAGCTACAGAATTATGGAACGACCTAATATATAGAGATTGTCATATCGTCTGGGATCGTAGAATTTATGGGGATCTTATAGACTAAAAATAACTCCTAATATTTCTGCTATCTATTGATGACTACAATATATGCTTCCGCTCTAATAAAAGGAGCAACCCACTCTTAAACAAGCAACATCATGAAATCTTCTGAATTCTTGCCGCTTCTTCAATGACTTTTCGTGCTGCTTAGTATACCTTTGACCAAGAAATTTCATGATTTACAGAAACTGAGACTTCCATAAAAAGTAAATTCCGAAAGAAGTGATCATATTTTGACTTTTAAAACTTTTAAAACTTTTAAAGCTAATACTTGAAAGTGAGCTAAAAAAAAGATGGAGAGAATCAAACATGATCAAAATCGTACTGTAATGTAAATTAACCAAACTTCCTTATATGCAGTGCCGAATTTTAGATCAAACATCAATCATTGTTAAGCCAATTTTCGTGAACATCACATTAGCAAGTGCATCTCTGCTGTCCGTGGTAAGTTGAATTTGAAGATGAAGGTAGAACGGTCAAAATAACATCGAGCTTTAGAATGAACCTTCTCAAACAGTGGATATGCTTATCGAGTACCACCTGGGAAGTTTTCGTAGCAGCCTTTTGAAATTAATGCTTAAAAGCTGCAGATTTTTTTTAGGATTGGAACGATGAACGACTTTCATGGAACCCATCCAATTTTGATGAGATTAATGGATTTTATATCAATCAGAGTTTCATATGGCAAGCAGATGTGTTAGCGTATAACAGGTTCTCATTATAACTTCCAAAATTTTACAACTCGCGTACTTTTGATGATTGCAGCCGCTCTTTTTCTGGTATAACTTCCGCTCCGCAGCACGTTTACGTAAGCCGCATCTCCCTTGTAAACTTCTTTATAGAAACTCTTTGTAGGTGCACAGCAACGGTGATATCAATTCCTTTGTGTACAACACCGTTTCATTCACTTGTCTGATGAATGCAAGTGTAATTCATTTTTTAAATATACTTCTATAAATTGACTTCGTAATTAACTCAAGCCCATTTTAGATGAGGGACTTTCCCTTTGATAAACAACTCTGCTCTGTAGAATTTACGTCCTATACCTTCTCAAGTCGCGAACTTCAAATTGATTGTAGTGTACCGGAGGATTTCGGCCACTCATCCGCTGTAAGCGTTATCTCATCATAGCATTTATTAGGCTAATCTTTAGTTAAGTCTGGAATTCATCATTTCTAAAACTCTTTTTTTCTGAAAAAAAGTTCTTAAAGGTATGATATTACAACCACTGGACCCTTACCAGTCATTCCTATGTGGCAATATTGCAAAAAAACTTTGTAACCAAGACTGTTAAATATGTTTCTCTAAAAAATATATGACGGATTTTCTTGGTCACTCATTAGCAGATGTAGGAACTACTCATTTGTTGAACAGTTACTCACTTGTGTTTTGCGGACGCTCGCGCTTGTTCTTCTATTTACACGCCTTCCACTTATTCGTATAATGTTGATTTGAAACTCGCCGCGCGATGCAGTATCACGAATGAATTCAATCAACTTTTCATTCCAAAAGCTTTTCCAAGTGCGGTAATTCCGGGAGGAAAGGAATGTGTAGAGGATCAAATGCAGATTTTAGCCAGTTAATGAAATAATTATGGTCTGATAGACTACATAAAGAACAATCGCCTCGGTGTCCTACATGTTAGAGCAGAGAATTTTTACTTAGGTGGAACATTGACAAAGCAGATTTACGCCTTTTCTTTTGACGGCGAAAAAAGTCACGCCTTTTGGGCTAGAGCTCATGGCTTGCAAATTTGTCTCAAACAAATACATAATTTTGCGAAAGTCTAACCGATCCAGTTTTACGTTCTAGAAAACATGTGGACCTATTTGACGCGCAGTTTTAGGTAAAGGTCTTTCTTAAAACCGTGACGACGGGTTCCGTTGCGGTGTTTTTGCGAAAACAGAAACATAAAACAACCATACTTTTGTTGCTGGAAGTGCGTGCGTATTGCGCGCGTTCGCGCCATCGTCACGATTTTTCAAATGCCCGTACTTGCTCACTGATTAGATCATCCTTGGTATGGTGGACTTACATGCTGGTGCTTGTCTTGTTTAATATCGTGGTTCGAAACCTTGGCTGGACGCTCTATGATTTCGTAGTAGACAGACTTCATACACATAATCAACAGCCTTAGCGCGTTATCATAGCGGAATTGAGCAACAAAAGAATAAGGCTAACGCTGCATTTTATGTACACTGAATGTCTTGATTCCATTCGCGCTCTGTGAAGCAAAAGCTTTGCCTTTGTTTCGCAATTGTAAAAACAAAGCTTCATATCCAGCAGCTCTGAACATTGAATTTTACGCTCTCTATCCGTCCGCAAATGTACGGAGGGCAAGCGTTAGGCAACGAAACGTGTGAAACGCAAGCAACGCAAATCCCTTAAGTCACAACTATGGCCATTTTTTCGATGGCGTCGAGTTATGTATCGGCCCTGACCCCGCGTTCCTGTTTCTGCCGCCGAATACGTTTTGCACGGCTAGGTCTTTTGAGGTATAAAAATATGAAAGTTCTTCCATGACGAAGGCGGTTAATTCAGAACCCGCTCGAACACGCGGCTGCAACCAGCGTGTTCGACCATCTCTCTCCATTGGAGCTCGCGCGTCCGAGCACGCCTCGCGTGCACTGGCGGTCGCCTTCGTCTTGAAATAGCTTATAGGTTTTTTTCCTAATCTCCTACACCCTTTTATTGCTTTCAAACTCAGTGAAAACAACTCATAATGATTATCTAATCCAATCTCGGTAGGCATTTTCCGAAAACAAATCATTTATTTAAAATATTGAGGATCGCTAAACCCCATGTTTCAGTCTGGTTCATCGAAGTTTTGGTTGGTATATGATAAGCACAGCTTTGAGCTTTTTCACTTCGAAGAAAAATGTAAGGAAAAGGGACGCTTTGCCGTTGGCAGTTATCGGAAGCCGTATGAAAGGCAGAGAAAAGCGGCATGTACAACTTTTCGCTTTTGTTAGACATGTTCATAGTAGAGGCTAGTAAGTACACTAAAGAATGATTGCGCGGCGTGAAATTTATCCGGATGTTCAAAGATTCAGTACATAAATCTTTCTTCCAAGCTCAGCTCCTATCTCCAGAGGGAACATTCATGCATTCGAACGTTGTAAACGCACAACAATCTTTCGTGTTAAAGTTTCATTTCAAAGACTTACAGAATATACTCTGATGAGCTTTGCAGCGCAAATATAATATTGCCGGACAGTTTGCATAAAATATCTGCTCCTCAATTCTATCTTTGACAAAAAAGGCAATAAAAAATTCAAAATTTGACTCTTTCTAGCTTTTTATTTTTAAGAATTGAACCAATGTCAAGAGTCTGAAGGAAAGCTAAGAACTCCAAATCTCATGAAACTACCTACATCGATGAGCTGTTGTCGCAGCTCCGCGATGCAGAGCAACTCCTCGAAAAACGTGCCGGGGCGCTGTATGCCGCGTTTGCCTGTCGCGCCTTTTGTAGACTGCTGCAAAACCATCTCCGCTTTGGAGCGCTGCCAAGTTGCGGGGCATATAAAACTGCTTGTGAGAGTGGCCCCTCTTCGACATTCGTTTTCATTATCGATTGTTCTTGTCATACTTGGCTACTTTCTGGGTAGTTTCCGCAGTTGAGGATTTCGTGTTGAGCGGTTTGAGCCCTTTACCTTGCGGAATGAACCGCGTGAGCGCGAGGAAATCTGGAAATTCATAGATGAACATTGTTGTTGCGGGAGTAGCTGGTGAGTGCAGTTCCAAAGATTGCGTCTCCAGCCGCCGACTCTTGGAAGAACCAACTTCTTGGTTGGAGTAATAAACCTCTTATACATCGGCAGCATAAGGTGCACGGCCCTCCCTGTGTTATTAGTTTGGTCATCCTCTTTAGAGGCTTCGTAGCTTTTTGTATATGTGTTTTATATTTGTTGTTTTGCGTATATAAACCTGACCGAATTATACGAGCGTTATACAGGGTGTCCCAAAAAAATGTTTCGAACGTTTGATCGTTAATATCTCTCTTCCCAGGAAGTCTTTTGCCTTGCTTCAGGTACGTTTTGTAAAGCTGGCTTCAACTTAGATTTCCATTATAGAACGAATCACCCATCTCTCTTCATTACTGTAGGGTTACGGTAGAAACTTCAAAGAAGGTTTTGAACCATGAAAGGCCATATTTTGCCCTGAAAGGAGACAAAACAGCCTGAAAACTTTTACACTAGACTAATTGAAGTTGCTGATTCTAAATGTAAAGTTACCAACTTATTGTGATGCTTCATTGAAGAGTTATGCCAGGTGAGAGGTAGCGGCCTTTTCTTGAATGTTCCTAAAAAGTGCGATTACACCGTTTAGAAAGCTTCGTAATCTTTTGAATAATTGAGTATTGAACTCAGCGTCTATAAAAACCCTATTACACAAGTTTTCACAATTTTTTGAAAAATTTTGAAACGGCAGCTTTTTCCACATTGACACCATATGTTTCAAGTTTGTACCGTAATCCTACAGTAATGAAGAGAGATGGGTGATTCGTTCTATACTGCAACTCTAAGTTGAAGCCAGCTCTACAAAATGGTTCCTAAAGCAAGGCAAAAGACTTCTTGGGAAAAGAGATATTAACGATCAAACGTTCGAAACATTTTTTGGGACACCCTGTACATGGGTTGATGAGTTGGGTGACCGCCTCAAGTGGACACGCCGTAAGGATCCAGGGTATCTCGCTCGTAATCTTCGAGGTTGTAGGGTTGTGGTGTAGAGCAGCCGAGCACACGGTAGGGGTGCTGGCCCACGAGCCGCAACAGCTGAAGAAACAAGAATTGTTTCTTCAGCTGTTAAAATTGAAGAATTGAAAACAAGAATTCTTTGAAGAATAAGAAACATTTACTCAAACATCAACTTAAGAGCAAAGCAATTACAGTTAGCTGACCCTACCAATTTTTTCTAAGTCATACTCTCAAGGAGAGCAGGTCTTATGCCTATTTTGGCATTATGTCAGACTGATTCTTTATGAAGTGTAGTTTGCTAGTTTGTTGAGTGCTCCTGTTGTAGAGCCGTCCCTTATATTAGAACTTGCTCGCTCACTATAGGCTAGGTCGATATGGTCTCTGTGGTTGCGGCGTACCCGCCGCGCTTTGATATATTTGTGTGCGTTGTTCTCTAGTTATTCCTAGTGAACCCTCGGCATGTACGCCGATAGGCAGAGGGGGAACTCTTGTGTTTTTCTAATAAAGGGTCAACGGCTCAACGCGTTCCACATCAGCTCCTAAGTCGTACTGACATCACAATCAAAAGTACAATACCTTTGTGGCCCAAAACTCCATGCCAACTTTTTAGCAATTTTCGTAAATCATCCTGGAAGCAGAGTATTTCAAAGAAACGAACGTTTCAGTTGTTTTTCCCATTTCCACTTGCAAGTTTTTCGCGTTTCTTTCACTCAGTTTCTGCTTCAACTAATTTTCACACAATTTGAATTCTATCTTTAAGAATAAAGTAGGGAAAACTCTGGAAAAGCTTGTTGAGGTGTTGAACTAGGAGTTTTTTCAGTATTATTTGTGGTTTTTGCACCCGTCCTCGATTTTGGGCTTCCTAAGTTTCTTATAGCATACTGGCGCTGCCTCATCAGAAGTTTTAGTGTTGCTCGGATTTTTTGACTCTTACCAGAAAGACCACTGTGGGGGTAGAGGGTAGAGCTTGCTTTAGCGCTCTATCCTGAGGAACATCTAGATGTGGCGAGCTCCTTACGCCTAATTATAATTTGCTAACATGCAGGCAATCCTCCGCTAAAAATGGTTGAATGGAAACGTTCCGTTACCTAATATTATCTGTGCGAGGCTTATGTAACAGCCTGTTGTATTGTTCGTTTACAAGCAAAAATGTGTTTAGTTGTGTAAACTACTCTATGAAGGTGTTAAAAGCAAAATATTTCCTGACATCTTGAAAGTTTTTGATCTGGAAAGAAAAGAAGAGCACTGCCGAAAAAAGGAGCTCACGGCCACGAGACTCGAAAACTGTTTGAAGAACTCATCAAAGAATGATTTCCCTTTAGCCTGAAATTGTTCTAAAAAGAGTACGCTTTTTCCAGATATCTTCTGTGATACCATTGAAATCCTCAAATGAAAAAACGCCATCCACTGGCATTCATTTTTTGTCTGAAGGTATATGTTGTTAGTAACAGCCTTCCAAATTGAACGTAGTAATTGTCTGCTTTTTCAAAGTTTTTGAGAAATAGTTTAACACAACTGAAAAATAAGTTCAAAAATTATCGCGTTTCAGACGAATGTACGTTAAGCTAATACTTTAGTTCTAGAGGCCAAAAGAAATCCATTTTTGTTAGGTTCTTTGAACGAATTTTGGGTCTTGCACTCATTAGCTAAAGAGTTTAATGCACAATCTTTGCATGTAAGAGGGAAGCTACTAAACATCTGATATTCCGAATTTTGTTCTATGTAACGTTTTTTTGCGTAAAAATAATGGAGTGGCTAGATAGAAAAAAAAAGTAAAACTTTCAGAGTAATAATGAATGGATTGTTGATGGCATTACATGTTCAACGTCCCGCGTTCAAGACGAAGTCGGACCCGAGTACTATTTGGTATGAAGAATTGTTTTACTAACTTGCAGTTGAGTTTTTGCTGAACAGGTCAAGTTCACATTTCAAATGCGACGCTTCTGTCTGATCTACGTTGTCACCATAATATTGCCTTCCTTCGTACTTACGCTTCTCTGCGTTCTTGGGATGTTTTGGTCGAGGGTCAATCACGATGATTACCTAACAAAAGTAAGTCACTACATTTTATGATAAAGTTTTTGGATGACCTCCATCTCAGATTGGGTGTGGACTTTCCGCCATTGTTGCAATGTGCACAATTCTTCAAATTGCTGGGCAAAGTATGCCCAAAACCAGAGAGCTTCCCTCATTATGTGTGTTGTAAATTGAACTATTTTCTTTGCGGATGTTCGTATCAAGCTCTTCAGCAGTTTACATTATGGCAAATTTGATGCTAATCTCTGTTTCCATAACTGTTATTACCACAGCATCCAAGCCCTTTCACTTGCCAAAATTCAAGATATGTTATTTATCACAAAGGTGAGTTTGCCCTCATTCAAGAAAGGACTAATTAGCAATCTTCACAGGTGGTTTCGTCGACTGGATTTTATTCTGAACGTGGAGTTCGAATTTGCTTGTTTATTGGTATTTTTACTAGCAACGGTTGCCAATCTATTGATGCTAGCGTCAAGAGCATAAATGTTCTGCCTCAATTGCTGAGCAGTCTCTCTCCACAAAAGTGATTCCGAAAATCTGGATTAATAAGCTGTCAGCTTACTGTTTTTAGATGTGGAGACTTATTTTAATTATCCCGAAAGTAAACTCCATTTTCAAACGAATTGAGCTGTTTTTAATTTCCGAATAGAATTAAGGTACCGTTCGAAAAAGCGGAGCAAGCGATCAGCAACCCCATACAAAGATATCTACCGCCACACCAGCTAACCAACCCATATTCCATAAAATGGCGTGCTATCATGAATACCACACTATACGAAGAGGAAGTGATGTGCCCAGAGCAATCAGTGTGCAATTCCATACATTGCACCTTCTGTCCCCTTCTACTTGGCAATCCACGCTGTTTTCCGAAAACAGCTACCACTGCGATAATTGTTTTCGGAAAACAGCGTGGATTGCCAAGTAGAAGGGGACAGAAGGTGCAATGTATGGAATTGCACGTTGACAATATAGCACAAGTTATGTCTCACTGGTGCTATATTGCTGAGGTCACGAATGTTGTGTTTGGCAAGAAAGAGTGATACTGGTGAGCATGAGGGCGGATCATTGCGCCGAAGGATGGTTTCCGTCAGGCGAAAGTTGGTGCCGTTGTCGCTTATTATCCTCAGCGGAACACCTCTTCTTGCCGTGAAGCGCTTGAAAACTAACAGGAAGTTTCTTGCCGACAAGTCTTTGTGCAGGGGTAGCATACTATCCAAGGAGTCCATCCTTTTTGTGATGTTGACATTGGCACAGTAGCAAACAGCGACTGTGGATCTTGAGGTGCATTTGCATGTATCCATGACACGGCACTTTGTTAAATTTTTTGCGATCTCTGATGTGCTGCACTTGACTGCGAACGTGTCGTCGGACGGGGATATCATGGTCTGCGGGTTGGTACGGTTGCACACCTGGACGAACTTCCGATCCAAGATGAAAATTGTGGGAGCCGTAATGAAGTCAAGGGTGAAGTTCATCTTGTCGATGCGTAATGTTTCTTGCGGTAATGTGTCCATGTTTGTCTCCACTTCCCTGTCCGTAACGAAGGTTAATCGAGCTCGTATTCGTGCTTTTTCGTTCCACACAGGACAGGAAAAGACTTTGTAGATGAGGTCATCCTTCGGTTTTGAGTAGGTACGGGAAAAGAGACAGCCTGACATTGGTAAGAGGCAACCACAACCAATTCTTCCGCACGATTCTTGGCATCGTGTCACTCCAGGAAGGTGGTATGAGCCGTTTAATTCCGGAACGAACGAGTTTTGCGCGATTGTGCGGCATCTTTGTTGCGTGCAACTCCCGGTTTGAGCGCATCGTTTGGAAGAAACTGTTGTCAGCTTGACATTCCTGGTAAAGAAGTGAGTGACAGCTATGCATTCAAATCTTATGCTGTCGAGTTGTATGTGTAATGTCGCGATCAGTTCTTCTTTATGCATGATCTTCATGCAAACTTCGCGTTTGAAGCTGCTCACTGCGAAGGTATGCTCCTCGAAACTCTTACGTCTTGATTCTCCATAAAAGTCGGTGCAGATTAGATCAGGTGTTGAGAACATGAGTGTGCTGACAGCAGCTTGTTACTGCCAGCAATGAAAGCGAGAAGATGAGCTTGGATCGCGTCGAATGACCGCCGGAAGTTTTCCTTGGACGTGCTTGCGTATCGCTATTCTGATGCATTTCCACATTTTCGGCTTGCTCTGTTGTCGTAGAATCCATCGTTGTATGCTTTGAGTCTTTGAGCGAACGGCATCTTTGTTTGAGCATGACTGCTGCACCTGTCACCAGATATGTGGAGATGGTGGTGAGTAGTTGATGTAAATGAACGTAGCTACCAATGCGATGGTTGTTTTCGGAAAACACCGTTAGAAGGGGACAGAAGATGAAATGTATGGAATTGCACACTGATTGCTCTGGGCACATCACTTCCTCTTCGTATAGTGTGGTATTCATGATAGCACGCCATTTTATGGAATATGGGTTGGTTAGCTGGTGTGGCGGTAGATATCTTTGTATGGGTTGCTGATCCGTGTATATGCTCTGACAATGGCGATTGACGCATACTTCACTCCTGCTGTTTAGGTCCGGAATCGACGATAAGTTGAGTGTAAATCCAGTGTTCGTACAGTTCCGCACTTGTCCTTGTGCAGACTGTACAAATGCGCATGGATGAGGACGGAAAACGATATGTCGCCCTATTTACCTGCTTGGTGACACAAATGATACACCTGTGGCCGTATTCATCAACGAACCCTGAGGGTTAAGCTTACCCTCCAGGGTTAGTTTAACCCTCAGGGTTCATTGGCCGTATTCATCAACCATAGGCTAGGGTTTACCACGGAACGCGATCTACCCGTATCGATCAACGAACCTGTGGCCGTATTCATCTACCCTGAGGGTTAAACTAACCCTGGAGGGTTAAAGCGTCAGTCACGCGTGCGCTGTGCAAACTCACATCACAGAATGCCTAAGTACGGGCTAAATTCACTTTATACTTCTATTCTTTTACTGTTATAGTAGTATAGTCAACGAATAAGCTTCTAACACTAGTTTTTATAGTACATCTCTAGCATACTTGTGCAGCATCCAATCTTACAGCGTGAGTTTATTTTCATGGCGCAATTGTGCAGTGTAAGTTCTACTTTTGCGCACTTCGTTTTACACCGGGCTTGTGCTACTCTTTTAGGGGTCAGTGCGTGTTATTATAAAGGGGTTCTTCTGTTTTGGCACTTGTCAGAGTGGAATGCCATCTTTCCTCGTCGCATTCATTTGTCACCAAAGCTAGAATTCTTTTTCTCGCGAAGTCAGTGTTTCATGTACTTCGAATATGAACATAAAACGAAGTCGAAACTAAATATTATAACAACAACCAATCTAAATACTACAAGACTCGTTGATCGTTTTCCATAAACTATTAGATGCGAGTACATGTTTGTATGAAGTGTTAGGGTAGAGTTAACCTTGCTGTGAGCTAGGGTTAAATTAACCCTGATGAATCACGTAAGTTTAACCCTCCAGGGTTAGTTTAACCCTCACGGTTCGTTGATGAATACGGGTTAGTCGCTTTCGGGGTAAAATTAACCCTCAAGGTTAGATTTAACCCTCAGGGTTAAGCCTACCCTGTGTTTCATGAATACGGGTTAAACGCTTTCCAGGGTTAAACTAACCCTCCAGGGTTAGTTTAACCCTCGGGGTTCGTTGATGAATACGGCCACTGGAAGTAGCGAAAGACTTGTCAGCAAGAAACTTCCTGTTAGTTTTCAAGCGCTTCACGGCAAGAAGAGGTGTTTCGCTGAGGATAATAAGCGACAACGGCACCAACTTTCGCCTGACGGAAACCATCCTTCGGCGCGATGATCCGCCCTCATGCCCACCAGTATCACTTTCTTGCCAAATACAACATTCAATGGAACTTCATTCCACCAGCATCTCCATGGATGGGAGGAGCATGGGAAAGAATGGTCGGGACTGTCAAAAGGGCCTTGCTCAAAACGATAGGAAGACGAAAGATCTCAGAAGAAATTTTTTCACAGTCCTTTGCGAGATTGAAGCTGCAGTAAATTCACGACCATTAACGACAATCGGAGAAGCTGCTGACAACAATGAAGTATTTCGCCCAATCGACTTCGTGTACAAAAACATTCGACATGGCATCGAAGTTATACGACAAGACGAACAACATCAGGAAGACTCTCCGTACCAACCTACTCCGGAAATTTCCACGCAATTGGACGCAAAGAAGGCCATTTCTGATGCAGAGACACTTACCAACAAGTTCTGGGACAAATGGAAAACAGAGTATTTCTTGGAACTGCGCGAACGCCATGTACTTTATGGAAGCAATTACAAGTCATCGAAAAATAATCCGTGCGTTGGCGACATTGTGCTTATCGATGAGGATCTGAAGGCATCCAGAGACCACTAGCCAATGGTTGTGATCGAGGACTTAGTCAAAAGCAAGGATTGAGAAGTACGAAGCGCCTACTTAAAACCGGAAGTGGGTGATGCGTACAGCCCTATCAATCGCCTCATTCCACTGGAAATTCGCGCCACAATGGATCCGAACACAATGACGAGCACTTCACACGACAATGAGGAACCTCAGAGTAGCATATTAGCCCTACCGCAACGCAAACCTCTTGAAAGAAAGGCTAAAAAACCCATCAATTATAACGAAAATGTGGTATTGCCGAAACGTCGTTCATAGAATGCGCTCAGCATTTTACTAGCCTTGACAGCATGCGCATTTGTACAGTCTGCACAAGGACAAGTGCTGAACTGCACGAACACTGGATTCATACTCAACTTATCGTCGATTCCGGACCTAAACAGCAGTGAGTGAAAACAGAAAACAAAAAACATAAACAAATAAATAAAATAAACAGGCATGCATTCAAATCTTATGCTGTCGAGTTGTATGTGTAATGTCGCGATGAGTTCTTCTTTGTACATGATCTTCATGCGAACTTCGGGTTTGAAGCTGTCGGAAAACAGCGTGGATTGCCAAGTAGAAGGGGACAGAAGGTGTAATGTATGGAATTGCACACTGATTGCTCTGGGCACACCACTTCCCCTTCGTATAGTGTGGTAATCATGATAGCATGCCATTTTACGGAATATGAGTTGGTTAGCTGGTGTGGCGGTAGATTGTACTGATCAGTTCCAATACCGCCAATTATGCTGCCATTGCGAAGGTATGCTCCTCGAAACTCTTACATCTTGAATCTCCATAAAAGTCGGTGCAGATTAGATCCTTGATGTTGAGAACATGAGTGTGCTGACAGCAGCTTGTTACTGCCAGTAATGAAAGCGAGAAGATGAGCTTGCGCAGTGGTAGCTACGGTATCCAAGGAGTCCATCCTTTCTGTGATGTTGACATTTGGAGCCAAAAATCAAAATTTTTCAGCTACCCTAAAAATAGGATCTCCTTCCAGGGAATTCCTACGAATTTCTAACTTGGTCTTTATAGAGTAGACAAATTCTCCGGTGGCAATTTTTTTTTCATTTTGGCGCTAAACTTTACATGGAATGCGGTCTAGGCGGAACCTTAGTGGTCGTTCTGTAGAGCTTGATCTGCCTTATCGAATGGTACCTTAAGTTTACTAGGAAGGCAAACAGCTTGATTATCCTTTGAAAAAGAGTTGACTTTTGGGACAATCTAATATATAAAGCGGGTGGAGGACATTAGGTCGCCGATAGGCTCCACCCACAAAGGCGGCCAGCATGAGGCAGTAACTCAGACACTCGTGGTTGACTCGCGCGCAAAGAAAACTTATGTAGCGACAGAATGACTGCGGGACTTAATTAAAACAGTCGCGAGAATTTCGGGACACCGGCGTAGTGATCGGGAGATTGCTGCACGAGACAAGTTATTCTCCCGCACTCACGCAGACCGGGGGAAAAACTGAGCTTTAGCGCAAGACCCGGTAATGTTGAGAATTCAATTACGGCGCAACTTGCGCTCATCGCTGTTCTCTTATTTATTTTTTAAAATGCATTGAATACCCATGTTTTCAAGTTTTTCTCTTATCAGTACTCAAATAGATGTTTATTGAGAACTTCTCATAACAAGTGCACACACAAAATAAGTGAATTTAGATCTTGAAGTTAGAGTGCAAACAAATCAAAGCAAGAGCACCATGATAAATGGAATGGGAGTATAATAGTGGCTAAGTGAATTGAGAGGCCGTATTCATCATTGATACTTTGAGGTAAATCCTACTCTCAGGTAGTTTTATCAGTCATTATCAGTGATAACTTATGATAATGAGTGATTAAACTATCTGGAAGTAGGATTTACCTCAAGGTATGAATAATGAATACGGCCTCGGATCTTCAAGTCATAGGAATGTAAACAAATAAGCAAGAGCATCATAAGTGGAATGGGATATAAAAATGGAAATTCTTCTGATTAGTGCGGTGATAATGAGAACATGTTGGAACAAACAAAAGTAATAGTAATGCTTATGTGTGACAGATTTGCTTCAAAGTGTTTCGAGTTCATATTCTTTGTCCTCATCCCTGACCTGGACCGGATCGGTGGCTGTACAAGTGCGTTTTTTCTGAAATAAAGATGCCATTTTGAGGCTGATGTGCATAGAAAGGATGTATATATTATCGACGGGGGAACGAGTTCGTTCTTTTCCGGCTTGAACGAATAAGCGCGCAGGTCTCCCCTAAATTGAAGATATATATACAGGCTCCCTAAAACCCAATTACCCATGCATCGCTTTGAACACCAACGCGCGGCGCGGCTGGAAACGTTTGGTCCCGAAGCGTTACAGGCTTTTTTCGAGCGACAATGAGCGCGTCCTTTCTACACATATTTTTTTAAACTTTTGAGGGGGGCTTTCGTCGAGATATACCTTGCATTGACGATAACAACATGAAAGTTAAAGAAAGATTTTCAGGAATATAATGAACGCCAGTTCGCGACGACCGCTCGCTTACGCTGGTGTTCACGGCACGGCGCGGGCAATTAGGTTTTACGGCGCCTATATATATTTATTGGAAGGGTACAGGAAAGCCTACAATGCTCTTGTAAGTGCTGAACGAATATTTCCATTCCAAGTAAATCTGGCTTGCACCATGCTATCAAATCTCTTCGTGCGTTGTTGATCATTCTCTCCCAGCGTATGTCAGTAACTGAAAGCACGAGAAATCAGAGAGCTCTAAAAAAATTTTTGGTTATACCTATTAGCTTGTCTTGCGCATTCAGCGGCACTTAGAAGAAGCTCATCCGCGAATAAGCCAAAAGCGTCTAATATGAAGTCTAAAAAACCAGTTTTAGTACACTCTACTAAGGGAGTGATTACTCACTTGTTAGGAAAACGACCATGGTTTCTGGGAAGTCAAAGAGATGAGGATATCGACCTTTCTTCCCAGACTGGCGCAAAGCGAAACGTTGTATTTCACGGGTGGTTCGCAAGCCTGTGTTTGACTTTCTTAGAAGAACGGACCAAACAAACAGCGCGACTTACATGAAGAAGATAAAATCTCAGAAACTCCAGCACCGTCAAAAAAGGGTCACCGCAATTGGCGCGAGCAGAAGGACTCCAATTTTCAAAAATTTGAATCATGTTTACTTCCTAAAAACCAATCGAAGGTGCCAGTCGATAGATTGAATAACCTTGAACGGTGGATTTGCATCAAGCTTCCAAGTCCTCGTGATGTTCGTTCTTTTGAACTCAACACCTTCCGGTAGGGTATAGGATTGTGAATTTCGTTATGTGAAAAGAAGTCCGCTGCATTTGCTTTTTTTGTTCATGCTGGCCCGTCAATAACGAATCAACCTAAAGATAGTTGTTTGGATGGCCTCGCGCGATTTCCACTTACCGTGAGGCACAATCCCGCAGTTCTGTTTGTCAGAGCTTTTATGACGGCTTCTGCATCCCTCACAACCACATTAGAGGACGGCCTCAGTGTGTGCACTGTAGCTTGCAGATTTTTGATCTGTTCCAGATTGATGTTCTGTACCGTGCCGAGCTTCGATGCAAGCAGTTCCTGTACAAGAGAGATCCCCGTGTTTCTTCGCATCACGAAAAAATATTGGTGCAAAAATACACTTTTCGCAAATTATTTTCCACATTGATGTCAAACTGGCGCAGGCTTTTACCTAGCTTGGCAAGCGACAAAGTATTTTCGGCCGTAATGGCATCTAAACCCCTAAGACGGATGCTCTATGTGTCGTGTCGTGCAGGTCTTGGGAAAAGCGCCAAACTTACCTGAGAAGATATTGGTCGCCGGGACATGAGAAGTGCTGGTTCCGGCTACACCCGCGTGATTGTTCACTGCCTATCTCCTGACGACTTTCGACGCTCTTGCGTTGAGCAATGGTCTTTTTAGTCTTAGGCTTGGGGTCGAGTTCCAGATCTAAATCCTCCCATGATAGAAGAAAACGTTATAAAAAACGTTATAATCTTCTAAGCTACAACTGAGCACAACTGGATTCAAGGCTAGACTGGCTGGCAGTACGTTCGCTAAGGCACAAGGCTCACTAAGCAACCGGTGTTGGGAGCCTTTCCCAGTACTCTGACTGCTTCCGGTTGTGCGTGAATCGTTTTCCTTGTCTGGAAACTGGTTTTGAAATGGAAAACGCAGAAAAAGCTAGAACGAACCAAGTTGACTATCCAACACACAGTACTGAGGAATATAATCGTCATCCGAGTACATTTTCAACTTACTCTCTGCTCCCAGAGAGTAAAACCTGAAGAATAGTTGTCCATACGGTACCTTCCCGTTGGGAAATCATGAGATCGTCTGATGTCAATTATCATGCGTCCAAAAGTCATCTGCACAAAGAACTTCAACAATCCACACTGATGAGAACTCATTGCTTGTTTGATACTCATCAAGATCACTATCCGGGAAGTCAAAGGCGAAAGAACGGGCGACGGTCACTAGTCAAACATAGGGCACTCCCTATCCGACCTCACACGACCTGGCACTCAAATAGCAGCCAGCGACTAGCAGTTTGACTCAAAAGAGGGTTATTCTTTCACGATCTGATGTTCAACGTATCATAGAATCTACTCTGCGTAAGTTGTACTCCTGACTATTAACCATTCAATATCATTGGTTTTATAATGAAACTCTGGCTGAGGCCCTAACATAATTCCCATTCGGCTTATTACTAGTCCGTCTCTCATGGAATGGAGAAGTACAACAGAAGTCTATTGATGTAAACCTTTGCAGAAAACCCTAAACATCCCCTCTATAAGAGGTTCTCAAAACTCATACTTTCGCTCTTTTGCAGTACCCAGAGAAGTGTCCCTGCAGACGCGACAACGCTTAGGCGTCAGCAATTGCCATTACGAGTTGTCAAGCAGTGTTTTCTAATGTTTCCTTTACTTAATCTTTGCTTTTTAGGAAATTTGCTGCTGATAAAGGAGAAAAGCGTAAGTTAAAAAAGTATTTCTGTTTTCTGAATAGTTATAATATCGCTATCCTCAGCTATTTACGTGGAAGCACGTCGCGTCAGTTCCATGTGTGTTTTTCTCATTTGTTTTTCTCCCATCACTTCGTGCCTCTTTCTTCTTGCGAAGCAGTTTGAACGCTAGTTGGCTTAGCTTCCAGCAATTTCGGGTTTCACCCCAAGAAAAAAAACAGCATTTAATCGAGTACTTCGTATGATAAAGACAATAATTCAAAACACAGAAGCCTACTAAAAGAATACTTCACAAGAAGTAAGAGGCATGAAGTGACAGAAATCATGCAAGATACTGATGCGACGTGGCTTTATTAGATATAACTTACCCTTTTCTCCTTTATCAGCAACGAAAGTACCTGAAAAGCAGAGAATAAGCAAAGAAATTGCTAGAAAACACTGGCGGAAACTGGCAATGGCAGTTGTTGACGCCCAAGCGTTGTCGCGTCTGCAGGGACACTATATTAAGCAGGAAATCTACTGGACTGTATGTCCCTCTTGACAGTTTCTTTATTATAGTGTCCCTGCAAACGCGACAACGGCTTTGCGTCAACAAATGCCGCTGGGAGTTTTGGGGCGACGTTTCTGTTATTTTCTTCGATGATTTTCTGCTTTTTAGGTGACGTTGCTGATAAAGAGGAAAAAGGTAAGTCAGAAAGTAGTTTCTGTTTGCTGAGTGGTCATATCGTCGCTAATTCTCGAGTGGAACCAGATCGCGTCAGTTTATGCACATATTGTCACATGATCTTTCTTTCTTCTTGTAAAGCATTTTTTAAACGAGTAGACCATTTATCGAGCAGTCGAGATAAAGACAGTGAGTCTTGTGTAAAAGCCTACTAGCGTTCAAGAAATGCTGCGCAAGAAAAAAAGAGACCTCACGTGTCAGAAAATAACATGAAAATGAACCGCAGAGGCATGAAGAGGAGAAAAATATACACGAAACTGAAGCGACATGACTTTCACATAGGTAAAACGATGATTTACCTACTCAGAAAACAGAAACTTTCTAACTTACCTTTTCTCCTTTATGAACGAAAACTCGCCTAAAAACCAAAGAATAAGCAAAGAAAATCTCTGTGAAGCCCTCGCTGAACCTCGCAATGGCAATAGTTGACGCATAAGCGTTGTCGGTCTGCAGGGACACTATATTGAAAAAGAAATCTACTCGACGCAAGCAACTGTAGGGCGCGCTTTCTCTCATCCTCGTATTCAAAAAGAAAAGTTGGGCCCGTCGAAACGCAACCTAGAAGCAATTTACAAAGGAAGAAAACTAGTTGAATATGTAATTTGTCAAATTTGAAAGATCAAACCATCATAATTACGGTACGCAAACGCAGTACTCCTATTATTTAGAGATAATAGTAAGTGTCAGTGAGATAGCCGCAGCCCAGTGCACATGTGATGATGTCCACAATTGGGTTCTACTTAACTAAGTGAACTGAAGATAGAGAGTGCGACCAGAGAGCAGAGTAATTGAAAGCCTTTGCGCAGGAGCAGGCAGGAGTGGAGCAGGCCTGAGTCAAAAAGCTATGGCAGTTCGTTATCTCTATGCAAGCAGGAACGAGACTGTTACGAACAATGGTTTGCGTTCATTTTACTTATGTTTCGACTTCCTGCTCACGCCAGAGTGATAAATAATAATGCAATCAAAAAAAGATGATAGCAATCTAATGTATAGTGAACAGAAACTCGAGATATGTGAAAATTATTCGCAAGGTGAACCTGCAAGGGTACTTCCAAAATTTTTTCAGTTAGGCAAGATCAGCTAGCTAGAATGATATTTAGTGAATGTGATAAGATCGCATATAAGAACAAGCTCTAAATGCATTTTCTTCTATGAAAATTGTAGAATTCAGCATAGGGATGCACAATGGACAGGTGATAGGAATAAGGCAACAAAGAGCAAAAAAAGAACTTATAGAGAAGAAAAATTGAATTAGTGCTAAGAGTTTCGCATTGTGATCAGAGATACTACAAAAAAGTCTTGCAATGTTCAAAAATACGAACCAACCTGACTATTGAATAGCCAAGTGGGACGTGAGAGTGCGTCTGAGCTGTCTCTGAGATGAGACGAGAGACTCAGTGGTGATCCGGATGAACCCGACGAGTTACTGTTCATTGCGGTCGACGATGTGGAGAGACTATCGAACCATGGCGAACTCTGTTGCTTGCCTCCCAACGGGTCAGGCATGCGAATTGCTACCTGAATAGAGGGTTTCAACGCATTTGTCATACACTTCCTAACGAGATGATGAAGAAACGCGAAGAACGCTGAGAAGAATTGGAAAATGCTGTAACGAAGAAGAAACTCTTATCGAACACTCAAATCAAAAATGTCAATCGTAAAGGTGGGACAAAAAAGAATCCTGACCCTTAACCCCTCAATGCGTAACAAAAAACAAAGAAACAGCGACACTTAAAACAGAATGAAGTCAAATTCTCATTACACCAGCAAAGCATTAGACTACTTCAATAAGACAGATTTGGACAACAAATATCAAGAACTAGATTCACCGGAAGAATCAGCCCGCTCCACCATTAAGGGAACGGCCATAGGTTGTCGGTGTTGTCGGTGTTGTCGATGTTGTCGGTGTTGTCGGTGTTTTCGATGTTGTCGGTGTTGTCGGTGTTGTCGGTGTTGTCGGTGTTGTCGGGGTCAGAGACAGTTTAGAGAGCGCGCGACGTGGGGGCTATCATGAGGTCCTACAACGACCGGCAACCTCGGCAACCCCGAACACCGACAACACCGACAACATCGACAACACCGACAACACCGACAACATCGACAACACCGACAACACCGACAACCTATGGCCGTTCCCTAACACAACGGCGCAACTTCTTTTTTGAATTTAGACGCTTAGGGCGAAGCATGCGTGATTACAGACAAGACCATTTAGACGACTAATCGCGACCAAGACCATTTCCGGGAGTCGCGACGGGTGTTATGAATTTCTCCCGCCTCCTTTTTAGTTTCGGGATTAGCCCGAACGTCGCAACAAAAGCGCGTATGCCGCAGCAGTACTCATTTTTCCGCGCTACCCCGTTTTGTGGGCGGATTTACTGCGCGTGTTAACCACGAATGTCTGAGAATGGTCAGGGCGCGAGGTTTGTTGCAAATTTCCGCGCAGGACCGCCCCTTTCGGCGATCTAATATCCTTTGCCCTATAAAGCTGATGTGTCTGTTTGTTTCTATGCCTGTTTCGAATAAACATCATCTTTGAAGCTATCCGCCTTTGCACACATACGCTTCGGAGCGATATCGATCACTATCGAGATTATCGGTTTTTTGCAGGGTCTAGCCTGGGAGGCTTTGAATTAATATAAGAGGGCAAGTAAGCATGCTGATTAGGAATAAAATACATTGAAAAAAGTTACTCCTTCTCATATTTCGATTTTTTGCAAACTTTGAGCTGTGGGGCTGGGTATTGGCACAGTGGAATACATGGGCACTGCTTACGAATAAAATGGTGTTCTCGGAATCATCAATCAACTTCCACTTTATCGGTAGTTCGCGAAATTTGAGCTACTGTGTTGGGAGCAGTACCCGATCCCTACAATACGAAAGCAAATAAAGCATGTTTTTGAGGTATTCAGTACAATAGAAAAGCAAAAAAACGTGTCCTGAGGTATCCGATCGAAAGCTCTGTTACTGGAAATTTTACCTCTTGCTTTCAGTATGTCAAAAACCCCTTAAGCCAACTTTAATATCAGGCACAAGGCTGCAGAAGCCTCAGGCAGTCTGACCTTTTCAAGACTTATGCCTGACCCCACTAACTTTATTTTCGAAGAAGGTTTTTTATCCAAATTTTACGTAATTCGCTAACACAAACCTCGAAAGTCCTACAGTAGCTGTTTGAGCTTTCCTTGACTTGTTTCGACTTTGTGGTGATCCATGGAATCAAAGCGCTTAAGGTGAAAATGAGGTGGTTGAAATCATGCCAGCGCTTCCTAATCCACTGTTTGAAAAATATGAAGTCTGATTACTAGCATAGACTAATAGGGAATATTACTCTGTTATGAGTATAAAAAAGCTTTTTCTCTATGGAAGCCAAGCTAATCATGTTTGAAGCTTTTCAGAGGCAGGGAAAACACTAGAAATTGTAATAGGTGGTCATTTGTAGAATTCGTAGTGGTAACTTGACATGCTGATTATGGAAACCAAACCCAATATACACAGCAAGCTTCTTTGGTGACCTTACGATGTATGTAAGGTAAGAGATGCAGAATTGAAATTTGGCTAAGACTTCGATAGTGGAGGTCAGTATGGTTCCAATGGAATTGTAATAGTCACCGGTCTAGCGTTTCATCCTCAGCTTACTTGATCGTAGTACTTCCTTCTGTTCTTATCGTAGTACTTCCTCAGTCTTACCCCTAGTATGAACTCCAGGTCGGGCACAACTGACCCTCCACTCTCAACCCTGATAAGGAAGGCACATCTGCTCCATTGCGCGATGCATTAAAAAACGAGATTTTCGGGAAATCTGAGCGATGAGCCAGCATAGGGTTAGACAAGGTGCTAAAGACGAGTAACTTCCAAAAATCCCAATTTCCAAATAATAGTGAGACACTTCCTTTTTTTAAATGGCTGATTTCAAGCAACAAATTCGCAGGTCAGCTTTCTTTTTTTCCAACATTTCCTTACAAGAGTTTCATAAGAGTTGGATTTGGGAGTTTTACGTTACTTTTGCTTTTGAATTTGGCTTTCAGAAATAACATCTTGGTTCAACCTCCTTTTTTACGGTTTAATAGAGCAGTACAATACCGCTCACAGAATGTGCAGAATTTTCGTGAATGTAGCGGAATTCTGCGAATTTCTCGAAAGTCCGCGACAATCCCGGAATTCCGCGACATTCACAGAAACTTTGCACATTCTGTGAGCCTCATTGTATTCTCTCAACAAAACGCGCCAAGTCTCTTATACAAACAATTTTCTTAAACTCTACATATCACAGGTGGGAAATGAACATTATTCAGACTAAATGCTTGCTCAAATGAATAGTTGCTTCTCCCATTCTATGGCTTGAAAAGTTTTTGGATGCAATCGCAGATCTTGTTTCTCCATGATTACTTCAGCGCATTCTGAAAACATTTTGCAGAAACTCTTAACCGTTTAATGCATAGAAAATCAGAAAATGTCATAATTTGGGTTCAGGTTAGGTGGGTTCAGCAACAGTGCATATCTTACTCAGGCAACCTTTTGATTGCACTAATACTGCTGTTTGCTCTACAAGAAGCTAATTGTCATTTACATCAGCAAAATCTGGGAATCTAAGATTCGTCAACAAATGCGTTTCAGAAACAAATTCTCCCTTTTCATGCTAAGGTCTGCGTGTTTGCGACACAACACGTCTGATTATTTTCAACATATTTGATATCAAATATAGGCCTTTGTAAAGGTGACTCGTCATATTAAAACTTTGCGAGAGAGGCGCTGTTTTTTGCAACTTTTATTTCAGGTGGTCTATGTTCGAGCATGGTTAAACCCAAGTTTTTTTTTTGCAAAAATGAATAAATTCCTGAGTGTCTAGCAGTTTGTCCCGTGTTTCAACTAGACTTCTGATAATGCGATTCAACAAGATGTCTCAAATATCCTCTGTTGATAGTTAATCCCTCTTTTTTCTCTGATATATTTCGCCAGCTTTCAGATATTATTTCGTAAGGTTTGCTTCAGCTTAAATTTATAGTGTGGAGCCAATTATCAAGCTTTTCTTTCCTGCAGGATTACGCTAGAAACTTGCAGCACGCCTTGCTCTGCTATAAAATAAGAAGAAAAAAATCTACTCTGTAATCTAGAATTCTGACGAATTAGGGAATACGTCTTTAAGGTATGCCTAACTTTTGAAAAGTCCACAGTGGAGCGCAGCAGCGCTTATATTTGCAGTCAGCGCCCCATTTTATCTAGCAACAAAGTTTTAAGTTGTTTTGGACTCGTTTTGAAGCGGTCATTGATGCAAAACCCTTTTAAATTTTCTATTATGACTAACGAAAAGCTATCGATGATTTGATCTAAATTATAATATATATCTAAGTTATCAAAGCTCTTTAACATGGTGCTTGAAACCAGGAGAGAAACATCAAAAGAGAAGATACACATAGTCACACAGTGGGAACATTTTTTCTATTTGTATTATGATCAAGAAAAACAAAATTCGAAATCGCTTGCCATCATCACTATATATAAACAACAAACTCTTTTTCATCATCAAAAATTGCCCTTTATTGAGCACAATTCCCACTATAAGGCGCATATCGTTCTAGAACTTCAGCAAGGGAAACTTTGGCTTTTACTATGACGCAAACAGGTTAGTAGATCGAATCTGGAATCCGACTTCCATACACCTTCAAAATGCCATTCAAGTGCTAACAGGGGAAGGATACTTGGATGCCGTAGCCATTCATAATGATTTGTACACCAAAAAATGCGCTTTTGAATGCTGGTTCGTAGACTGTCTTTCATATCTGCGAAACGATAATCTGAATGGAGTTATGATTTTTTTCATTAAAAAAATTGCGTTCCTGCGGAGGGTCAAAATCATCAATAAAAAAATTTTCTCTCCTTTCCAAATGCTGAGTATAATCCAGATAGTCTAAATAAATATTACTACGTCTAAAATTTTCTTCAGTAGCATCAAACGGTAGGCTAGATCAAATCTGGTGATTTTTACTATCCAAAAGTAGGCTAAATTCTCAAGGAAAAAAGTTCATAACTTTCTTCAAAAGATCGTTTCGCAGATTTCGAGCACAGATTCAGAATCTGCATTCAAAGGCGCATTTTTTTGTATACAAATCATTAGGAATGGCCGCGGTATCCAACTATCCTTCCCTTGTAAGTTCTACCTCCTTCCCCCTTCAATCAACTTTACAGGCGCCGTTGTATTTGAAGAAGGATCCCATCATCGGAAAAGCTGAGAAATTCGAAACATGGTTGGGCCCTCCTAGCTTCACAGTGCAAGACGCATTCCAGAGATTCTATCAGCACAGCGGTCTTACACACTCGAATATCAAACAGCAGTGCTGACTAACACAACTGCTTCGATCAATTCATTTACTGATCATAAGATTCAGACAGATGATTTGTCTATTGATGTCTAGTCAGCTGTTTTCAGCTGTCACACAATCCTGGAGGTCTAGCTAGGATATACATTCTACATTACGAAATGTAATAGAGAAATCAATCCAAAAATCAAAATCTAGAATCAAAGCGAATTAATTCCACCCTATTATACTACCTTAATTTTTTAACTCTAAATTTATTTAAACATAGTAAAAATGTTCTGTTTAAGATGAACCATTTAACTTCAATATCTGTTGTCGCTTTTTTCCAGTAAAAAGGCTATCGGAAGAAAGGAAAGTGTTGAGAGAGAACAGCAACAATATGATTCTTATTATTATGACAGACTTACGTAGTAAGCAAGAATTGTCTGAAGTCTGCTTCATGTTATTTCTAAAACTTGCCGGCACTTGATGATCAAGCCTATCATGCCTTGCAGAAAAATGGTTTTTTTTTGAGAAGTTGTCCTTCCTGAAACTATAAAAAAAACAGTGATTAAGTGCGTAGGTTTTATCGCAGAATTCAAGAAAATTAAAAAAGTGGATTTGCTAGTTTTGTCACGTATTGGTTCGCCGATCTGTTAACCACCCTTGAAAGGCCCACAAGTAAATGATACTAAATACCTGCTCAGCTTCATCTAAGTTCCGAAAACAGATAAAGTGATCACGGTTCAAAGTCAATCGTTAACGAAGGTACATTAATATTTGCATAGTTTTTGAGGCATTTAGCTAAGGGAGCCTTGTCTTTAGTGAGCTATCAGCTCACTCTTTTATAATCAACGGAAACAATTTTTTTCTAAAAATAGCTATTTGCCTTGGATTAAGATGCATATCCCGGAGAAAATGGCTCTTGGCATTTTCACTTAATTTTCAACGATTTGTACGTTAGGTTTGGATTGAGTAAACTAACTGGCTACACAGTTTTTGAGAATGTCAAAATTTTTATGGACGTTTGAGTTGCCGAACAGATGTGAAACCGTAAGAAACCAACCCGCCGTCGCTCTAGGTGGCTTTTAGCTCCCTCAAAAAAATCGATTCGGACATTGCAAAGATTTCTTTCATATTTGAGATGTTGAGTGGGTGTGAGTGAAGCTAGTGACCAAGCCAATTCGCCTAGATCGCTGAAGATTGCCCGATGTCTGCTTATCTGAACTACTGCATGGAACATCATCTTCAGTCACCCTCACATCCGCACTTCCAAAAAGACCAAGAAATTATTATTTTTTTGTAGAGTTATGGAGCATTTTAGACGTTTTCAAAAGATCCAAAATTAGAAATTCCAAAATTCAAAATCTGTCTAGCTACTGCCAAGCGCAATTGTAACAGACCCACTTTCTAGAGTGTAACAGAGGTGCGCTTGTTGATCTTCTCAGCTTTTGATTTCCTCATTTCTGCACTTGTGGACACTCGGGTGGCGAGACCCCCTCGGAGAGCAGTGTGCAGTAGCCGATGGGGGTCACACGTGTTCCTTGACTCCGCCCACTGGGTATAAAACAGGGTCGGCGAGGCTGTATAGTCTTTGGTGACGATGTTCAGGTTACTATCGTTGGTGCTACTTTGTGCTTCTGTGTTCGCTTCCATCGATAGTGGAGACAGGTTCGTTTGGTGATTTATTATAAATTTTCTGAGAAAAAATTCCCTAAAGTCCTTATGATTTCTTATTTCCGTCGAGTGTGTAGATCTTGTCATGTGTCAGCGATCGATCATGAGACAGGTGTTTTTGCTAACCTTTTAAGAAAAGAATAAGGTTGACACTGTTGAAGACTTGCTTGGTAGAAAATTTCTCTCGAGTATTCTCAATTTGATTGTACAGACGAATTTTTCGCTGAATTTCCGATGTGATCCATTTTAATAATTTCCCAAAAACACTTAGAAATCAACATCAATCATTTTATCCACATAGTAACGCAGACACTTTAATACCTTCCAGTTCTTTGCGTCTGAGTAGCTTTTAAAACCTCATTTATGGATTTTATGCTTTGAATTAGAAAGAAATGAAAGCAGAAAGATACTTCTGGTTAGCATCTTTCCTCTTTCTCTTTCTGCACTACCGCTTTCTTCTCAAAGCAAGCCTTTCTAGTCTTCCAGTTTTACTCCCTTCCTCCCCCGCCCCCCCCCCCCCCCCCCATAATGACCTTGATCTCAAAACTCTTTCCGAAACATCAATCGACTCGCTCGATTCGGTGGATCACAAGGATCAGATCGTGTTTTTTCCAGGCGCGATCACGAGTTTCGATTTCATCGAGTAAAAAGCCTTCGACAAAAGATTGATGAGGCTTTTCAACGATGGGATCAGTACAAGGAAGCCTTTGGTAAGCAAATGTCTTCATGTTTTGCCAATAAGCAGGTTTTCAATCAACTGTCAACATTGGTGAAGTTTTTAGTGAAAGTGTCTATGAGTCACACTGCTGTCAGCTGTGTGCGCTGTAATGTTAGAGATTAAATCTTTGTGATGTAGCAAGGAAAATCGCTCCGAGAGAAGGGGGATGGGTGATATTATAATAAATACTTATTGACATGACTGAAAAAAAATTATATCTACACCATCGGGTAATTACCTAGTCGGTAGTATAATTTCTGATGACTTTCAGTCCTGATGGTATCAGGTTGACTCATGAGACTTGCACCAAGGAATGTAGAATTCATTTAAGAAAATTCCATATGTTTTTATATATTTTATGTGACATACAACAACCGCTCTATTTTACTCTCATACGGTAGATATTATTGAAAACATAATCAAAATGTTGAGTTTGAAAAGTCAAAAATAACTCAAGAGAAATATCCGGTCACTACAAAATTTTTACAGTTAGGAAGAGTAGATCGTAAATTGTGGGCAAGAATGAAGTTGGACTTTTCAAATATTCTCGCATTTTGGAACACAATTCAAACGAAAATTCAGGACTTGAGTGTTTTTCTCACAACATAGATTTTTGTTTGAAGGACTATTGAAAAGCGGATAAATTTCTCTCTATAATAAAAGTTGAGATGAATAAATACGTTAAAACTACACATATTTACAATCTTTCAAATTTGGTGCGACTTATGTACCAACTCAACATATTTGAATTTTTAGCCTTCTTGTCGGATTTTAAAGATTCGGTTATCACAAAAAAAAAGAAATTATCGGTTTATAGTTTATCCTGACGTTCATTTCCATTGCTTCCAGGCAAAACTTACAAAGAAGAAGAAGAGAATGACTACATGGAGGCTTTTGTGAAAAATGTCATCCATATCGAAGAGCACAACCGTGAGCATCGATTAGGCAGAAAAACTTTCGAGATGGGATTGAACGACATTGCTGATCTTGTAAGAAATTCAACTATTTCATCTTTAAGCCCGAAATTATCGTTTTCAATTTTGGCCCTTCTCACAATATCGGAAATTGAATGGATATCGTCACCATGGCGCTTTCGGCGATGCATTGCCAAGCAATGGCACCAAGTGGTTGGCACCTTTCAATGTTGACGTAAGTTTGATTATAATTCGAGAAATAGTTTGTATGATTCACGGGTCACTAGACTTTGCGTATACAGTTTATATGATTCGACCACATAGGACTTATTAAATCAACAGTTCGTTCTATTTTGATAAAAGTGCAGAGTATCCAATTTCATGTGTGACCTTATTTTCCTCATGAAAAATTTCTGAGGTGATTTGGATGAAGAAGTGCGCAGTGAACAAAACAAATAGAAACTAATAAATTCGGAGAATGGCGAAGCCCAAAAAAGTCTATTTTCTCTCGTTTTATAGCAGAAGATGTTGTTTTCTTGTAAAGAGGACTTTTGGATAAGTAAATAACGTAAAATCAGTTTAGATAACGTAATTTATCAATTTTGGTGAGCTTTAAAAATCTGAATAATTGCCATGCTAATATGAGCGACAGCCAATCATAAATTGTTTTGAATAGGTTGCCAAAACGTCTAAACTTCTCTGAAGCTGGACTTTAACCAAGATCAGCTTAAATTTGCTCTTGACAATAAATGGCAGGATTTATTTGTAGATTCCTGAGTCAGTCGACTGGCGAGAAAAGGGACTAGTCACCGATGTCAAAAACCAAGGAATGTGCGGATCTTGCTGGGCTTTCTCTGCCACAGGAGCTCTCGAAGGACAGCATGCTCGTGCTGCTGGAAAAATGGTCAATAATTTTATTTCTTCAAAAGGACAAAATTTCATAGTCAAAATTTCCAGGTTTCCCTTTCTGAACAAAATCTGGTAGACTGCTCAACAAAGTATGGAAACCATGGTTGCAACGGTGGTCTCATGGATCTTGCTTTCGAATACATCAAGAATAACCATGGAATTGACACTGAAGAGAGCTACCCCTATGTTGGCAGGGTATGATTAATTTTTAAGTGTTTGATTCCACACCCTATGCTTCTTCTTTTCAGGAAATGAAATGCCATTTCAAGGCGAAGGACATCGGTGCCGATGACAAAGGCTTTGTAGATCTTCCAGAAGGAGACGAGGAAGCCTTGAAGGTGGAAAAACTGATTTTTATCCTTCTTGTCATTTATTCTATATTATTCTTTCTAGGTCGCAGTAGCAACCCAAGGGCCAATCTCTATTGCTATCGATGCAGGTCATAGAACATTCCAGCTGTATAAGAAAGGTGAATGATGACTTAGTTGCCTAAGGAATGTGTGATTGCTGCCTGGCCTCGTTTGATGAGGTGTTATTCGGAAGCGTTCCATGTTTATTTGACCCGGACCCGCACAGTCTAGCACCTTATCTTATTGAATAGCTGATAATGCTAATCAAGAATTCTTACCCACCGCTGTCGTCCAGAAATAGCCTTTTTAGATAAGGTAAATGTGTTCCTGAGCAGGAGGTGATAACACCTCTTTTCCGAAAAGGCACAAAACAACACGCAGATAACTGAAGGAGATAAAATTTCTGAAAACAAACCTCAAATTAGCCCCATTTTCACATAGCACGATGATTCAAAAAACTACAGATGATGCTAAAAGCCAAGTGATTAAACGTGTGTGAGTGAATATTCATCTCAATTTTTTAACAGCATCTTTTCAAAAAATCTTCTTTGATGAGTTTATGTGAAATCAAATAGGTCATTTGAAGACTGCTTTGCCGAAGATATAGATTTGCAAACCGGAACAGCATCATAGCTTACCTTCTAAAGATACATTGGACTACAATGTCTGACGCAAAATAATTTTTGTGGAATGATGAAATGATTTACAGAAAAAGTTTAGGGGTGTGTTCGATTGACATACCAGTAAGAAGTCCAGAAGTTCAGAAATACTTTTAATTGTAACTTCAAGGATTTATCATGACCTTAGTTTTCTGAGACGAATAAGTAATTGTTAAGTCGTATTCGCTTACAGTCGACAAAGTCAAAAAATCCCGATTTAAAAACTTTTTATTAGTTCAAGCTTTTTAGTACCGCTTTAAGGCGTACGCAGTAGTAATGTGCTAGGAACGTAAACAAATGTGGAGTCAATTTATCCTATGAATATAATTACCTAAATCGGATCTGTTTATGAACATACATGACAAATATCTTTCGTAACTTTTTGGTTAAATAAAAAAGTCTATCATAATAACGAAGTTACGGCGAAATCCTATTATCAAATGATAAGTTTTCAGTCACTCTGGGATGGAGAAAGAAGAGTAGAAGAGAGACTTTATGCATAAAAGCATCTTGTTGCAGGTGTCTACTACGATGAGGAATGTTCTTCGGAGGAGCTTGACCATGGTGTTCTTCTCGTTGGATATGGCACTGACCCAGAAGCTGGAGATTACTGGCTCGTTAAGAACAGGTCCGTAGATCACCATTTTTTACCCTCTGCAGTTCTTCAACTCAATATTTTCAGCTGGGGCGAGAAATGGGGAGAGAAGGGTTACATCCGTATTGCTCGCAATCGTAATAATCACTGTGGTGTCGCCACAAAGGCCAGTTATCCTCTCGTCTGAACATCATTGATTATCTAAGGGTATCAAAATGCTTTTATTGCCAATTGTTCTCAAAAAAGAAAATTTTTCTGTGCATAGCTCCCACTTGCCATTTTTTGTGTCTTATATGCTGTTTCGTTACTACTTGTATATAGATCTGTTTCTAACATTGTTGATAAAACAGTGAGAAGAGGAATGTTTATTTTTGGACTGTTTTTACGACTGAAATAAGATATCTGACCATCTGACTGGCGAAAGAGTGAGGGTCAAAGGTGTCAGGTAGCACTCAGACACCGCTAATTACGTCGGTACGGCCTTTCTCTGGAACAGCTGTTGTTTTGCTCCGGACTTATGTGAGGACCTTCCCTTAGTCTCTGGTCAAATACAAGGGTTCAAGAGAGGAGATCCTTCAGTCGTTGCCAATCTGTTACAATATAATTCAGAAGAAAAGGTGTCATAAGTACTTCGAAGCCTAAAAAACTGGACAAAATGTCCTCATCTTGATTGAAATTAATTCTTCAAACTATGTAGAAGCTGTGGGAGGTTCAACTAATAATGAATTAGAAAAGAAGATTTGAGACGAAAATCTGAGGATTTAAACGAATGAATCTGAGGAGCGAACGAATGCACATTGAAAGGAGGGCTTGGGATTTTTTCGACAGCAAAAATTACTGAAAAAAAATGACAGAGAAAATTTTAATTTTTGTTCAACATAAAAAATAGTTCTGAGAACCGTTGGGTAGGAACCTTGATAAATGAGACACAAAAGTATGAAGGATTTAGCTTCAACGGCTGCAAAATATTCTAGTTAGAAAAGATGTTAATAGTATGGCTAGCCATCAAAGAAATTTAAAAGGACTTAAAGATATTTTCGGTAGAAGAAGTTTGAGATGATGGGAAGGAGCGCTAGGTAGCGAAACAGGAGGAAATGAGAACATTAACGAAAAACTTCAAGGCAACTGAGGAGTTGCAGTACGAATTTGAAAGGCGTATGGCAGCTCTGAGGAGGCTCTCAGTAATTCGTCAAGAAATCATCAGAAATTGGAAGATATTCGTAGATCAGTATTTTAAGAAAAAGAAAGGGCGCTGGTAATGAACTGCTGCCATATAAATGGAGGTGAAAATAGCGGAAATGCGTTGGCTTGAAAATTGCCATGTTATAAGATTTCTATTTCACGCTAGAGATATATTTTTGCGGCTAATTGTTGAGTTTTGATATTTGTCTCGAAGGCAAGATGCCTGGCAGAGTTCAAAAGTTGTAAGAAAACTCGTGGGTACGATTAGTGAAAGCAGAACAGACGCATGGCAAGGAATATCAGAAGCGATCTTGAACTGCAAGTGTCTTGCCCATTTCTAAGACTTCTTATTGTTAGTCAGCGAAATCGTAGCGCGGATAGAGGAGCGCTTACTTGTGATTTGAAGATATTCCCTAAATTGCTTTTACATGTTTCTTCGACAAAACCTTTCCCATTGTTTTACATTCACCCGCTCTCTGAGAAGGGCCAACATACAGCAGTTATTAGGTTGTCCCAAAAGTAAACCGTATTTCTATTTAAATATAAAAAACAAATTGTACTTGTTTTCCTGGCAGATTGGGGCACCGTTCGATAGAGCGAAGCAAGCTCTACAAAATGACCACCAAAGAACCGTCTAAGTCGCCACATGGGTAAAATTTGGATCCAAAAATCAAAATTTTTCAGCTACCCTAAAAATCGGATCTCCTCCCAGAAAATTCCTACGGGCTTACAACTTGGTCCTTATATAGTAGAAACATAGTAGTACCGAAAAATGTTTCTGGTTCATTTTTCCAGAGTTCAAAATTGAGAAAAAAAGATGGTCCCAGAATGCCAAAATGCCATTTTTTTCGGGGTTTTCGTGTGAATCTTGGTATTTCTCGATTATAAGAGCACTTACAGGCATAAAGTTCTAAGATTATACTTAGCGAGGCTTGTAGTATACATTGGCATATGTGGGAGGAGCTGGGAGCGGAGATTGCCATTTTCAGATTATCTTTTTTCTCGCTTTTTGAGCTCGAAAAAAGTCCAGTAGAGGCATATTTGAGTGCTACTATGTGTCTACTGTATAATGACCAAGTTTGAGTTCCGTACGATTATTCTTCGCAAAAATTCAATTTTTAGGTAATATTTTTCGATTTTTGCTCCAAACTTTACCTGGATTACGACATAGACGAACCTTTTGCGGTCATGTAGAGCTTGCTTTGCTCTATCCAATGGTACCGCAAGTCTGTCAGGGAAACAAAAACGGTTTAATTTATTTGAAAATACGGTTTACTTTTGGGACAACCTAATATTTCTCTCTAAAACACTTCTCCATCACGCAAGAGTAGATTGTGAACTGCGGCGCAGTTTTGCTTAGCACTCCACAACCTATTCTTTCCTTATTTAATATTTTATCATTTAGAAAGCAGCTTCTGGCTTACTGAGAATGTAGAGCTGTTTTGGTTAGTAATTTATATTAGGCCATTTCATTAAAATCCAAATTATTAAATGATTTATAGGTGAGTAAGACCTACCAAATTAGCCGATCTACTCCTATATATGTGAATCTGACTTTAGTAGTAAGGCAATGTATCCATCCAAGAACTAGTTGACTATTACTGATCAGAAAGAAAGTCGGTTGACTTTTGATTTCCTCGGATGAGGGGCTGGAGTAGTAGCTTTGAATTAGTGCTTAATGACAAAAATGCAGGGCTGATGGAATTCTGCGTTGCCTAATTTCAAATCCTGCTCAGAAAATTGATTTCTGGTGGAATACCTTTGGGACAGCTTGAATATTATTTATTCTTCACCCTAGAGCACTAAGAATTTATACTCCATTTTGCACTGCGGAAATAAACTAGTTGTGAGTGTTCTTTTGGAAGAGAAACAAGTGTTCGGGAATGAAACTCAAGAGAGACGTTACCTTTATGTGCTTAGGAATCCCATCGAGCTCTAATAATGTTATAAAACTAAAAAAATTACTAACGATACTAGATTTCAGCAAAGTCGTGTCTAAAATGTCTAGCTTCAGACAAGCCTTAGCTTTTAGAGTATTTTTCCGAACTCGAAGACTGAATGACACTCAAACTATGGCTGTACTTTCGCTTCAAATTGTAAGTGTTAAGTGAGTCTCAAGAAATGCGCAGAACTTCTACCAAAAATCTGTCATTATGAAATGAAATTAGAAATAGGTCTTCATCGTTTTTTTTGACTTTCCTTAGAGGAGGATTTACTGAAATCAAGGACGTTTGTAGTTTTCTATCTTCTCTAACTATTGTAATATCAAATTACAAGAAGACGTACATTGTTGGCACGAATGTCCTGACGCAATGCACTAATCTCAAAAAACATCAGAAATTATTAGCTTGTCAAGAAAATAATGTCGTTTTTCATAGCAAAGCTATAAGACAAATCCAAAAAATATATGAGGGGCACCGTTCGATAGAGCAAAGAAAGCTCTACAAGATGACATCCGAATGTTGACAAAATTGGTTGTTTACGCAAAGTTCAGAGTCAAAACATACGAGCAACTAGTGATGAAAAAGTGGATTTCCGCCCTAGAGAATCATGTGAACCTTTCACTTGCTCCGCATGTAAAAGACACATGTACTTATCCATAGGACACTTGCTAAATTTTTTCGCTTAGGAACCAAGAAAAATTGAAAAATGGAAAATGGACTCCGCCCCCAGTAGTACTGGACCCCTCCCACATATGCCTTTGTATACTAAAAAGCTTCTTAACTTCAACCATAGAATTTTGGCCTCGGATATGCTCTAGTTCTCGAGTAATATCAATTTTACCCGAAAAATCCGAAAAAAAAACGGCGTTATTTTCTCGACAACCCAAAATTTCAAAAGCTTATATCATTTTATCATGAAGTAGTTTGTGGAACTTATGATACCAAGCACATTTTACTGTATATTTTTGAGATTTTTCCCGTTTTTTCTTTTGGCATTTCCTCTAAAGCTTTTGATGGGCACAAACTTTGCTCATTTCGAGATGTATTAGGTTGATGCATAATTCCTGCACCAAAATAGGTACAGACCGCAATAACTCGGAATAATCCTATATCCCAAGTAGAATTCGATATATCATTTGATAGCGCAAACCTAGCTCTACAAGATAGTGCTCAAATATCTACACCAGCTTCAATCCACGCGGAGTTTTGAGCCAAAAACTGAAAAAAACCATGCGTCCGAAAACCTTAAGACAGATCTTAAAAAAATTGTAACTTCGTTCAAAAAGCTCATACAAATTTTCTTTCTTGCTCACGCGTAGACGTTTTACGTAAGACATTTATCTATGCGGTTGCTGTATTTTTTTCTCAACTAGACGATGAGAAAACGAAGTTTTTCATGTTTTTTCCAAAACAATGCTGAGATGTTCTAGCACTGACAATTGTATACTATAGGACCTTAGAAGCGTGAATGTGAATTTTCAGCTCTTTAGAGCAGCTGGTTTACGAGAAATATCGAATTTTTAGCAACTAGGCAAGAAAAATTTGGATAAGGAGAGCTAGATTCGTTATTTCTCGCGAACTAGCAGTTCTAGAAGGCTGAAAATGTAAAGTTTCACTGCTAACGGCATGTACTATACCACTGTTGATACTAGAACATCTCAGCACTAATTTGGCAAAAACAGGAGAAACTTCAAAAAACTTCGTTTTTTCATCGCCTAGTTGAGAAAAAAATACAGCAACCGCATAGATAAATGTCTTACGTGGAACGTCTACGCGTGAGCATGAAAGAAAATTTGTATGAGCTTTTTGAACGAACTTACAATTTTTTTATAATCTGTCTTAAGGTTTTCGGACGCATGGTTTTTTTCAGTTTTTGGCTCAAAACGTCGCGTGGATTAAAGCTGGTGTAGATATTTGAGCACTATCTTGTAGAGCTAGGTTTGCGCTATCAAATGATATATCGAATCCTACTTGGGATATAGGATTATTCAGAGTTATTGCGGTCTGTACCTATTTTGGTGCAGGAATTATGCATCAACCTAATAGGTTATATAACTTTTGTTGCGTGGGTTGAAAACTCTGGAAAACTGGTTTCGAAAGCAAAATTCTTATCGAGATTTTTCGTTCTGTGATAGAAAAACTTTGAATGCTGTGAATGCAATCAATTC